AAGTCCAGGAAATGTAGAGTGCCAAACAAGATGAACCCAAAGCAGCCCACATCAAGATACATCAAAACTAAACGGCAAAAGGTTAAAGACAAAGAGAGAATCTTAAAGAAGATTCTGGTCAGCTAGCCTAGTTAGTTAGAGTGTCATCCCAGCACACCAAGGTTGCGGTTCTATCCATGGGTCAGAGCACATGATAGACCATAAATAAGTAGAACAACAAATCAATGTTTCTCTCTCCCTTTCTTTTTCTCTCTTAAAAAAAAAAAAAAAAAAAAAAAAAAAAAAAGACAGCAAGAGAAAGCAGTTAGTTATCTACAAGGGAGCTCCCATAAGACTGTCAGTTGATGTCTCAACAGAAACTTTGCAGGCCAGAAGGAATTGGCAAGAAATATTCAAAGTAATGAAAAGCAAGGACATATGACCAAGATTACTCTACCCAGCAAAGCTATCATTTAGACTAGAAGGACAGATAAAGAGCTTCCCAGACAAGAAAAAGCCAAAGGAGTTCATCACCACTAAACTGGTATTATAGGGGAAGAAGAAGAAGAAGAAGAAGAAGAAGAAGAAGAAGAAGAAGAAGAAGAAGAAGAAGAAGAAGAAGAGGAGGAGGAGGAGGAGGAGGAGGAGGAGGAGGAGTAGTAGTAGTAGTAGTAGTAGTAGTAGTAGGAGTGAGGAGGGAGGAGTGAGGAGGAGGAGAGAGGAGGAGGAGGAGGAGGAGGAGGAGAAGGAGAAGGAGAAGAAGAAGAAGAAGAAGAAGAAGAAGAAGAAGAAGAAGAAGAAGAAGAAGAATTATAAACAATAAAATGGCAATAAATACATATCTATCAGCAATTTAATCTAAAAAACAAAACAAATGAACAAGCAGAACAGAAACAGACTCATAGATAAAGAGAACATTTTAATGGTTGCCAGATGAGAGAAGGGTTGGGAGGATAGGTGAAAAAGGTGAAGGGATTAAGAAGTACATATTGGTTGTTGCAGAATAGCCATGGGATGTAAAATACAGCATAGGGAATGTAGTCAATAATATTCTAATATCTATGCATGGTGTCAGATGGGTGCAATAATTATTGGGATGATCACTTAGTAAGTTATATAATGTCTAATCACTGGAGTGTACACCTGACACTAATATAATAATGTATGTCAACTGTCATTGAAAGTAAAAAATGATAAAATTAAAAAAGAGCCCTGGCTGGTTTGGCTCAGCGGTTAGAGCGTCGGCCTGCGGTCCGGAGAGACCCGGGTTCGGTTCCCGCTAAGGGCACGTACTTCGGTTGCAGTTTGTCCCCGGCCCTGGTTGGTCGTGCGGTGGCAGCCACTCGATGTGTCCCTTTCACATCGATGTTTCTCTCTCTCTCTCCCTCCCGCTCTATCTGTACAAAAAATGGAAAAATGTCCTCGGGTGAGGATAAAAAAAAAAAGAGAGAGAGAAAGAAGGAGAGCTTGCATTCTAGGCATAAATGTATGAAAAGGCTTGAAGGTGTCTGAGAGCTGATGTAGTTGGGCACCTGTCCCTGCCTCAGTCATGCTGAAGTAAAGCCACTTCAAGTGGCTGAGGTGGAGGGTTCAAGGTAAAAGTGAGAAGCGTCCTGGAGGCTTTTTGAGCACACTAAGGCATTTATCTTGATGGTAATAAAGAGTCATTGAAAGGCTTCAGGAAGGGGAGTGACCTGGTCACACATGGGTTTTAGAAAACTCATTCTGGCTGCTGCGGGGAGGACAGGTCCAAGAGAGAAAACCAGGAGGCCAAAGAGCAGCCAGGAGAGATGCCACATACCAGGCAGAAGTGAGTTCCCTGTCTTCCTGATCGCCACAAATGATGTCCTCCACAGGTGATATTAGCCCCAGAGGCTTAGAGACCCAACCAGCCATGGAGTCTTTGCCTAGTGAGTGCCACAATGACCACAGTTCTTGTGTCCACTGCAGAGCCCGGCTGAGCTCAGAACATGGCATAAGGCCAGCAGTGCTTTCCTGAGCTGATCACTGAGTTTCACTGCAGTCCAAAGGAACAGAGGGTCCTGATCATCCACTTGGGCAGCCAGCACTGCAGTTGTTCCTTTTCTCAGTGAGAAAGTCAAAGTTCAGAGAGGTTCTAAGACAAGCCCAGGGTTACACAGCTGGTAAGAGGCATAGATGTCTGTCCTCAGAGCTCAAGACCCTTTTTTTTTAATCTGTATTTTGTGCTTCCAGAATAATCTGACTACATAAATTCTAATAATATAAGAACCAGAATGTGCTTAAACAATCATCTAATCCAACACCCCCACTTCCTCGGGACCAGTGAAGGGAAGGGCTTGCTCAGGAACATCAGTTCAGAAAGAGGACTTTATTCTGAGTCTCTTGACCCCCAGCCCTCACCTGTCCCTATGCATTTGGCACCTTTACAGAACTTGAACTGTGTGCTTGTTGTGAGAACTATTCCCTCAGCTCCCAGTTCTTCTGCAGCCTGAGAGTTTGTGGGTCTGGGTTCAAATTCCAGCTCTAAAGGAAGAGGAAATTATACATATACAAGCATGTGTATATACATATATAGGCATCAGTTCTCTCTGGAAGGATGTATAAGAAACTTGTTTCACCCTGGCCAGTTTGGCTCAGCGGTTAGAGTGTCAGCTTGCAGACCAAAGAGTCATGGGTTCAATTCTGGCCAAGGGCACATACCTCAGTTGCAATTCAGTCCCCAGCCCCGGTCGGGGTCCTTTGGAGGCAACTGGTTGATATGTCCCTCTCATATCAATGTTTCTCTCTCTCTCCCTCCCACCATCCCTCCCACTCCATCTGAAGATAAATGGAAAAATATCCTCAGGTGAAAATTAAACAAAAAAAATAATAATAAAAAGAAACTGGTTTCACTTGTCTTCAGAAAGGGGTTCTGGGTGGAAAGAAGTTCTTGTGAATCTTTTTTTCAGACTTTTGCACTTTTTAAATGTATGAACAATAGTTTTCTGAGTTTTAAAAAATCCTGTCTCTTCCACTTATTCACTATGCATTCTTGGGAAAGCCATTTAACCTCTCTGAGTTAAATAATCTAACCTCATTCTGGTCCCCTGATGGGCTGGGCTGTGAATTAAGAGGGCTAGCAGTCAGATGGGGCCCTCACCGGGTGCTGTGGGACCAAGCTCAGAGGGCCCTATCCTGTTGGACTTATCTGGTATTTGGGGGTGAGGGAAGCTGTCAACTGGGCTCCTGGAAAGTGGGTGGGGCAGCAACTTGGGAAGAAGAGAGCTGCAGAGCAGGAAATGGCAAAACGAGTGGATACATCAATGGAAAAACACTCTTTAAGAGGAGGTTGGTTGGTAGAGGAAGAAAAAGATTTTATAAACACAAATTATCTGTGGTCACCCCTCTTCTTTCCCTTCCAACCTCCTCCAGGCACAGTCTAGAGGGGTGAGGAGACTTGCCTTTCAGAGAGCGCCGATCCTAGATCCTAACCACTAGACCGCCGGGGAGCTCCACTACAGACTGCCTTTCTTTGTGAGGATTTTGATCCCGACCAGACGCCCTGGGCTCTGTCCTTGGTCCTGAAGTGGTGCCTGAACCTAAGGTACAACTTCGTATGTGGTTACTTGGGGCCAGGGACACTGGTTATTGTGAAGTCTCTCTCAGTAATTATGAATCGTGTAAGAATTGTTATTTTCAGCCTTGAGAATATCAGTGTCATTTTCATCTTGTACACCTCTTCTTCCTAGGGTGCTGCACCCATCCCCAGGAGTTCTAGCCATAGCTGCCCCATCCCACATACCAGGCCTACAGGGCACCGACATGGGCCCACACATCCAGTGAGCACCCACTCCATTTGCTAGCCCTCCAAATTTACGGTCTATTCCCATCAGGGCACCTGATGTTAGCTGAGAGATTAATGACTTGCTGAACAAGCAGAATCCTAACTTGGTTTTTCCAATTTAAATTTCTTCATTCATGCATTTTGAGAGTTGTATCATTCCTACCACTGACATTTTTACTTTTTTAAAAAATGGCAAGGAAAGCACCCCTAACATAAGACCATCATTCTTGTGAGCTCTGCATGAGCTAAAAGTGACCCTTCTAAACCCGAGGGGCCTGAGAATTCAGCATGACACTGAGGTGTGACAATCTGATCCGCTCTGGCATCAAAGGAGAGGGAACGTGAGAGCTCAGGGGTCTTCATATTCTAGGGGAGATCCCAAGAGGCAGGCAAGAGAGTGGCAGTCAGGCCTCAGTTGGACCCCACCTACTGTATCTTTTTTTTAAAATTAATTTTTGTTACATATGTTTCTCCTTTTTGCTGTATCTTGACACAATGTGGAAAAGGGGTGAAGAACACATACTCTGTCTGGCCCCTGCCTAGCCCCACACCTCACTTTCCTCTCCCCCATCTATGCACCCCAGCAGATAACCTGATCCCTATCAGCAGCTGCAGAGTGAGATCATGTCTGGCCTGTTACATGGACCAAAATGAGGAAGCAAGAAACAGGAGGTGGATTTGGGATGGCATGGAGGGGGCAAGTAACCCTAGATTGGCACTCATTTCAGCCTGGGGAGAGAGAAAAGGGGGTTCCCCCAATTTTCTGAGCATTGTGTTTTCTCTCTCTCAGTGGGAGGGAGATGGGATAGGAGAGCGAAGGTAGCATAGAAAGGCATCCAGGCCTGTGGGGAGGAGGGCTGTGAGTTTAGGGGGTCATTGTCAAAAGGATCCTATCTCCATCCTCAGAATCAGGGACAAATTCCTGTCCTACTACATCATACCTCCTCTCTCTGTCTCTTTCCTCACTGGCCCTGGGAATGAATCCTGGCTGCACCCCACTGTGTTATTTCACTGTGTGACGCTGGGCAAGTCACTAAACTTCGCCAGGCATCAGTTTTCTCATTTGTAAAATGGACACATTGATCCCTACCAGGGATGTAGTGCAGGTAAGGTGAGGCAGGGAAGACACAGTGCGAGGCACACGGGAGACCCAGGCGCCCCACCGCCCTTGCTGCCCAACACATGCGGCGCCCTCCCCCCAGCCCGGCACCCTCACCGATTCTCAGCCACCAGGATCTGCTCCAGCAGGCGAGCGGCCTGTACTCTCGTCTCCAGCTCCGTCGCCTGCAGCAGCCGCAGCAGCAGGTCGAGGCCGCCGTCTAGGCGGATGGCGTCGCACAGACCCTGGGCTACCTCGCGGCCCACGGCCGGCAGCAGCCAGGCCTCCTCTACCAGCTGGAAAACCTCGGCCAGGCCGGCGCCCACAGCCCGCGCGCCACTCGCCTGCTTCAGCACCGACAGCGCCTGCTGCAGCTCGGGCAGCGCACGTTCCAGGGCGCCCTGCACCTCGGTGCCCAGCCCAGGCGACACCTCGCGGGGCCCGCGGCCGCCTGCGGCCCACCATGGGCCCGCGCCGCCGCCCCCGTCCGGCCCCGGCACCACTAGTCTGTCGGCGCCCGGCCGTGGGCCTGACATGGCGAAGAAGCGGCACAGCTTGTAGGCAGAGAGGAGCAGCGTCAGGACCATCGGCGCGGGGCTGCAGGGGACATCCTTGACCTGGAGGGGCAGGGCTGGGCGGAGCGACCCGGACCTTGGGAAAAGGGGGACCTGAGAGGAGGTCAGGGGGAAGAAGATGCAGGAGGGAGGGATGGAGAGGAAGGTACCAGGCAAGTGGCTCGGGGAGGGGTGAGGACAGGATCCGGGACGAAGCGGTGGGGAAAGAGGATGCAGGTCCAGACACAGGGGATGGACAGGAGGAGGGAGCTGGGAGGCGAGGGATAGACCCAGACGCCGGAGGGTGTAGGAAGCAGCCACCAGAACAAAGAAAGGCTCCAGCTCGTGTTCCGCTGGCAGAGATGCTCCGCAGCAGCCCCGACCCTGAGAAGCCGAGGACCCAGAGCCTACGCCCTGCCTCTGGGTCTCGCGGGGCTCCGCCCCTGCCTCCTGCGTAGCCCCACCCTCTCTCCTCTAGCCCCGCCCACAGCCTGGCCAGGCCTCGCCCCCTAGTCGCATTCCCCGCCCCCTCCGCTGGGTGCAGGGGCAGCGGGTGGAGAACCAGGGGACTGCTTCGGTTTTAACCATGACACCAGTGTGTGAGGACAAGCAGCACCGTTGAGTGTACCCCCTCCCCTACTAGTAGTTAAATTGATCATAATAATGATTCTGTACAACTCTTGAGGCTCTTAATGACCATTTCTCTTTTAAAATTTTTGTCATGTATTGATTTTAGAGAGAAACATGGATTTTTAATTGTTCCACTTATTTATGTATTCATTGGTTGATTCTTGCATGTGCCCTGACTGGGGATCGAACCCACAACCTTGGCATATTGGGACAATGCTCTGACTGAGTTACTCAGCCAGGGAGGACTATGCCCCTTTCTCAGTTCAGCCTTACAACCTGCCTATGAGGTAAGAATTACTGTTTCCATTTAACAGATGAACTGACTTAGGCCCATGGAAAAGAGACTGCCCAAAGTCACACTCCCCTCTGATTACAGAACAGAAAAAATCAGCTGGAAACTGATGGTCACTTCCTCCATGTTGTGGGAGCACTTCAGAAGTTCTGTAGACCCCTGAAAATAGGCACAAAATCAGGTGTTCTGTGCTAGTGGGCATTTTCTGGGTAAAGGGATTCTATTTCTCACTAGAGTCTAAAGTGTAGAGAACCAGATCACTCCCGAGGGTGAGGACAGGGCCTGTTCAGGAACAGTAAATTAGTGGAAGAGTCAGGAATCAAACCCAGTCCAAAGGGTTAATATTTACTAAATTTACTGTGTTGTGAAGACCAGCTTGGGGAAACCAATGCACTCAAGAGATGAACCCAGAAATGAAACTGTGTTCTTTTATGATAAAAAGATTTCCCCAGGGTACTTACCAGCATTCCTCCTACTCTCCCCCCTCACTACCCTAAGTATACAATGAGTGGGTGAGCCACACAGCCAGGGATGTGCCTGATCAAACAGATCATGGATCAATACCATGTATGGAGGTTAAAGTTGAGGCTACTCTAGGCACTGGACATTTTGTATGCTTAATTCATGTAATCTCCCAACACCTCATAAAGCAAGTATTATTAGTTTCATTTTACCAGAAAGAAAACTAAGGCAGGTAAAGCAGTTTACCCAAGGTCACACAGCCAGTAAGTGGTGAGGTAGGCCTTCTTTCTGTCTTCCACATCCACTGTACTATTTCCCTTTTGCGATGACCCTGAGCTTGGCAAAGATCCTGCTCACAGCTCTCCCAGGCCCAGAGTTTCAGGAATGTGACCCTGTGCTACAGCAACCCCTGGGGGTCAGGGCACTGGGGGCTGGGCCTGAGGTTGAACAAACAGAGCAGTGGAAAAGGCAGTTCCTCTTCCATGGTTCCCTCCCTCTCTGTCCCACCTCTCCCCTTTCTCAGGCATCAGAGCAGAGAGCACAGAACCCAGCGCACCAGGCTCATGGCAAGAGGCCCTGCCATGGCAACCCTTAGGCTCCTTCTGATGCTGGCTCTGCCGGCATGGGTTATTCTGGCTGACCAAGGTGCAGGAGGGTGTTGGTGACCAGTTGGGCCAATGTAGGGTGGGCAAGGGTGATCCGGGCTCGGTTGTGCCAACTGACAACTCCTCCCCACAGAGTCATGCAAGGACCGCTGCACTGAGGGCTTCAACGCCGAGAGGAAGTGTCAGTGTGATGAGCTCTGCTCTTACTACCAGAGTTGCTGTGTCGACTACGTGACTGAGTGCAAGCCCCAAGGTGCGTTCAGAATGGTTGGGTGGGCCTGGGGACCCCTCTGCAGCTAGAGACTCACCACCACCCACCCTGCCTGCAGTGACTCGCGGGGATGTATTCACTATGCCAGAAGATGAGTACTGGGTCTATGATGACCATGAGGAGACCAAAAACACCAGTGTCCACGCAGAGACAGAGCACACCACCCTCAACCCTAACCTGCAGGCTGGCACTGAAAGGACTCCTGAGCAGGCACCTGTTCTGATCGGTGAGGAGGAGGCCCCAGGAACAGAACACGGGACCTCAGGGTCTGATGTGTGGACCCTAACGCCTGAGCACACCGATGAAGAGATCTCTGCGTCCTCAGGAGAGGAGCTGTGCAGTGGGAAGCCCTTTGACGCCTTCACTGACCTCAAGAATGGTTCTATCTTTGCCTTCCGAGGTGACTCCAGGGGCAGGTCTTGGGGGTGCGGGTCTGCCCCAGGACCATCCCCTTCCTCACACAGCCTCCTCCACTCTAGGGAAGTACTGCTATGAGCTGGATGAAAAGGCAGTGAGGCCTGGGTACCCCAAGCTCATCCAAGACGTCTGGGGTATCGAGGGTCCCATTGATGCCGCCTTCACCCGCATCAACTGTCAGGGGAAGACCTACCTCTTTAAGGTGCCAGGCCCAGGGGTTGTGGGTCAGGGTCGAGGGTTTCCAGGCAGGAGTTGAGGGCTGTTGTGCCCAGGACCAGAGTCAGTTAGAAGGCTGAAAACCAGCCTGTGGTCCCTGGCTGGGGCTCTGGGAAGACAGGGAAACCCAAGGTTCCAGGTCTTGGGTGATAAGTCTGGAATCGAGACTACTGCCTTGGATGGGGGACTCTGCCTCTGTGCCCAGCCAGCCACCTTCTCACGTCCCTCCTCCTTCCCTACCCTTTAGGGTAGTCAGTACTGGCGCTTCGATGATGGTGTCCTGGACCCCGATTACCCCCGTGAAATCTCTGATGGCTTCAAGGGCATTCCGGACAATGTGGATGCAGCCTTGGCCCTCCCGGCTCACAGCTACACTGGACGGGAGCGGGTCTACTTCTTCAAGGGTACTCAGGGCGTGGAGGGGAGAATGAGCAGGAAATGGAGCGGTCTCAGTGTTTTTCCACACACCACTGGGGACAGGCCTAGATGATGCTCCCGTCCCCACCTGCCCTGGCCTGGAGATCGTAACTTCAACAGCCTCCCGGTTTCCCAGCTTTGCTCATGTCCACCCCTCCCCAGGGAAACAGTACTGGGAGTACCAGTTCCAGCACCAGCCCAGTCAGGAGGAGTGTGAAGGCAGCTCCCTGTCAACTGTGTTTGGACACTTCGCCGTGCTGCAGCGGGACAGCTGGGAGGACATCTTTCAGTTTCTCTTCTGGGGTGGATCCTCTGGTATGGATGGAGGGCAGGCCTTGGTTCCCCTTCAAGAGGGCTGGAACCCCGGGGGGAGGGGGAGGGCTGGGCTGGCCAGAGGGGGCTGCGATTGTAGAGTTATCGATCAAATGCTATTTGCTCAGGCCAGACTTTGCATCTGTTTTGATTTTTGTGGGGAGGCTTGCTTCCATCTGGACCCCATACCTTGGACTTTGCCTAGCACAGCCAAGGGCACAGCCAGCAGAAGGAGGGGCTGTGGCTGAGGCAAATGGGGAGGGGTTGGTGGAGGGAGGCCAGGGGAAAGGACATTAAGCAGGGAGTCAGAAGGCCAGAGTGCTGGGTGCTGCAGCTAGCTTGCTGTGTCCTTGGGCAAGGCATAACGTGTCCTGGGGCACCTGATAAACTACCCTGCTGCCAGGGTCCAGGCTCTCCATTAACCCCTTCCCTGCCATAGGTGGTGCTGGACAGCCCCAGTTCATCAGCGAGGACTGGCCTGGTTTGCCCGCGCAAGTGGACGCAGCCATGGCTGGCCAGATCTACATCTCAGGCTCAGCTCCGGGCTCCTCCTGGATCAGGAACACTAAGTCTAAGCGTCGCAACCGTAAACGCTACCAATCTCGCAGAATGAGAGGCCGTGGCCCCAGCCAGAGCTCCCGTCGGAAATCTCGTTCAATCCGGCTGTCCTTGTTCTCCAGTGACGAGAGCGGCCTGGGAACCTATGACATGGACTGGCTTATACCTTCCAAATGCGAGCCCAGCCAGAGCGTCTACTTCTTCTCAGGAGGTGGGAGCCCCTGCTACCCCTGTAGCTGGGTTTAGCCGTGATCCTCCCTGCTCTCCCTGGTTCCCATGAGCTGAACTCAGCCTTTGAGCAGAGACTCCAGAGTCAAGCCAGCAGTCCTTGCCTGCACGGTGATATTCATGTATCCTTCCAGGAGAGACCGGGGTCTTCTCGGGGCAGGAGTGGGCATGGCCAGGCAGGGTCTCACACACTCTCTCCCAACCTCTCTTCCAGACAAGTACTATCGAGTCAACCTTCGCACAAAGCAAGTGGACACTGTGAGCCCTCCCTACCCACGGAACATCGCCCAGTACTGGTTGGGCTGCCCAGCCTCTGTTCTCAAGTAGGAGTCTGAGCCCATATAGCTGGACCCTCTGCTGCTTCTTCCTCCTACCTCCTCCTCCCAGCTCAATAAAGATCCCTTGGCCCTGAGTTTAAGATTGCTGTCTTGACTGGGGTAGACAGGCAGGAGGCAGAGATCTACTTGGTAAAGGAGGGGAAACTGGCTTGAGAGAGGGGACAGAGAAGAGCCTCCCTGTGTCCAGCCCATGTTGAGCCCTCTCTGTGAACCATAAAAGTTGTGGGCTGGGGAGGCCTCATGAGTGCTAGCCCCCCTGACCTAAGCAGCCCCTGCCGACCCACCATTAACTAAGCAGGGGCTTGAACCCCTCTGATAATGACAGGACTCACCAAGCACCCCCTTCTCAGCCCTCTAAGGTCTTGGAGGACAGGGGGTGGAGATGGGGTTCTGGTTCAGTTTTCTGGCCACCCTGAGCCTGAAATGTGGTTAGCTCAAACAACTGAGTCCCCAGGGATCTGGTCACTGTGCTTCCCCAGTGACCCCTTTCTTTGAGGACTCCATCTCGGGTCTGGGGTGCAGGGCACTGAGGCTAGGACAGGGAAGACAGGGACTCAAAGGAAACACAAATGTCCCTGCTTCTTTTAGAAAGTGGCCCAGAAGACTTCCAAGGACAAGTACGCTGTAAAAACAAACATCTTTCTTAAAACCCCTCAATTGTACCTGTGGAACCTCTTTTGGTTTCAGGATCCTGGGCTTCCTGGGCCTTTGAGGGGCCAGAGAGAAAGGGTTAAATGCAGCCACTAAAGCCGACTTGAGGGAGATCTGGTGGTGACAGCTGCTCCCCAGTCCTGCTGAGGGTGTGGGTGGCTCCAGCTCATCTGCTGTCCCGTCATCCTGGGCACCCTGTCCCGCCTCAGCAGCCCAGTCTCAGCTGTGGAACAGGACTCCACCCACTGTCCCCTGAAGGCAGCCGGCGCCAGGCGAGGGCTCACGGGGCAGCTGAAGTGCTGGGAGCACGGAGAGGGATCTCCTCGGCTTCCCAGGAGGCCTGGGAGAATTTCCACGAAGTATCAGGCTTTCAGACACAGACTGCCAGACTGCAGTTCAAGGAGGGGCTGGAACAGCTTCCTTTGTGAAGCCCTGGAGGAGCAGGGGCCCCCAAACTTTTGCCCCACCTATACTCTGCCAACCCCCAACACTGCCCCTGGCCACCAGTCTCCTGGAGCTGGATGATAAACCTCTCCCCTCCTGGAGGCGGGGCCAGCCCTCTGAGCAGGATAAAACCCCAAATGGAGGAGTCTGGCGTGGGCACAGCCTCGGCATGGCCCTCTGGCTCCTCACTCTCTGCCAGCTCCATGGCCAACTCTGTGGATGCCTCGCCAACAGGTGATCTGGTTGGAAAAGGGTGGGCTGGGGAGAGATGTGGGGAGGGTGTGATGGGGTAACTTAGGTGCGGAGCAGATGCTTCAGGGTCTGTTGTGGGCTCTTGAAGTGAGTCTGGGCTTGACCCCGACCCTGGCCCACAGGCCATGCCAGTGGGTTGGGTCCCCACCGGAGAAAGAGGACTACCTTCAGCAGAGGGCAGCTGCTGGAGCTGGAGCGGGTGTTTGCAGCTCGGCCCTACCCTGACATTGGCACCCGTGAGCATCTGGCCCAGCTCACCTGCCTTCCTGAGGCCAAGATACAGGTGAGCTGTGACCCCTTTCAGGGTGGGGATACTCTCGCACAGCCAGCTTCTGGGCTTGACCCACAGTTCCTTCTCTCTGAGTAACCTGCCTCCAAGTTCTACTTTCCCTGTACCTGGGGGGAGAGGGTACTGGAGCCAGAAGAAACCGCGTCTTCTTTCCTTACCAGGTGTGGTTCCAGAACCGGCGGGCCAAGAGAATCAAGAATAGGAAGCCAGGAGGCCTAAGTCCCAGATCTGAGCCCCCCCAGAGACCCCGTTCTCTTCCAGATACCCTCCAGCAGCCCCGGGAGCCCCAAACACTAGGCCAGCTTCCACTCTCCAACAGCATACCTCGGTGCACCTCAGGGTGTCCACATGCCTCCTGTCTGGCTCCTGGCTTGGGTCCGGGGCCCGGCCAGGTGGGGGCTAAAGCTGTAGGTCCATGGGAGTCAGCTGGGACTTCAGGGGTCCACCTTTCTTCAGAGCAAGCTACTCCCCAGACCTCACTGGGCAGCCTGTCTGACCTCATCTATGCCTCGGCCATTGTCACCAACCTGGACCACTCCTAATCTAGGTCCAGAACTTGCAAACCCTCACCTCTAGCTCCTGTAGCTCACCTGCCCCTTAGGACTGAACACATGAGAAGTGGATCCATGTCCCCTTCTTTTACACAAGGGTGTTCTCTTATGGGAAGAAAGTTTAGCTAAGGATCCCTCCCTTCCACTGTCCCCCAGGCCAGCCTAGATGCGGGTCTTAGGGAGTAGATGGGGACTGGCTCCTGCTACCCAGCAACCTGCACCTCCTGGGGCATATGCCCATTGTCTTGGCAGGAGGTACCTTCAGAGGGATGAGGTATGGGGCCATGTTTCCCGCCTCTCCTGCTAGGCCTGGTCCACAACTCTTCTCACCCGAGCCAAAGACACCTCACCTCCTCCCTCTAAAGAACGGGCAGCTGCCCCTCACCTTTAGGCCAGCACCTGATTGTGATGTGAGCTAGGAGATGATCCTAGACTAGACTACAAGGGACAAGGGACCAACCCTCTTATAGTTCAGACCTCCTACTGACTCTCTCCTGACCTTCTACTACCTGAACAAATTAATTAGAACCATGGATCTGAAGATGAAATGATTAATTAAAGTAATAAAGTAGAAATAGGAGTTTGGAGCTTACACTCATTTAATTTTCATAAAGAACAGATTGGCTGCCCTCTGATCTGGGGCTGTGCGGAGAACCTGACAGGTTTAGGATGGGGTAGGGTGGTGTGTAAGTGGAGCACTGGGTTTTGGTATCACCGTCATCTGTAATACCAACTAATCTCCAAATAAAAGTCAAACTCGGTACCTTAATCTGGATTGTTGTGTGATGTAAATGAATGGGGACGGTTTGCTTTTGAAATGTACCTCCACCACCTAATCCCTAAATGGGCCAAGTTCCACAGATTCTGGGTGGGAGGTATTACCCAGGCCTCTGCGAGGATTAGTGAAGGACAGTTAACTGAAGGGCTTACGGCTCACTGACAGATCCCGGGGAGGCGGGAACCTCTGCCCGCGAGCCCTGCTGGTTGCAGGACAATCCTGCTGCCTCCACTTCCGGAGCTGCCCTGCTTCAGAGGAAAGCATGGTGGGCAATCGGATTCAAAGCCTGGCTTTGCTATGTAACCTTGCAACTCTCTCAAAGTCTAAGAGCTTGAAAACGGGGATGATAGTACTTGTCCCCTCCATTTTGGAAATGAGAGCAATAATGTAGATGAAGGGCTTCGTGTGCGTGACATGTTGGAAAAGCTCTCAATATACTAGTTCCCGCTCCCTCTCTATACAGGTCATGAGAAACTGGGAAGGCCTCAAACATCCTGAGCCTCTGGCTCCTGCCAAGCTCTCCCATCTCTCCCTGGGAAGCCCTGGACCCAGACGGCACCAGACAAAGCATGGTCTGGGGAGACAGTGGAAGTGACTGACAGCAGAGTTCCCTTTTCTGTGATGAGAACTGGAGGACCAGCCACCCAACTCTTTTTTCTATTGTGCCCTTGTAGAAACTACCTTGCACAGTGGCCATTTACTTGGCAGGAACTAGGCCGTTACCTCACTACCCTCGGAAGCTAGCACAGCATAGATTTCAGTAAGTGCTCAATGCCACAGAAGCCTTTTGGCTTGTGAGTAGGGGGTGGGGATCAGGCTAAGACCACATTCTAACGAAAGGGTGTGTGTGTGTGTGGATGACCCCAATCTCATCATGAGAAGGCATCCTGAATCAGAAGCTATTTGAGGGGGCCTCCTGTTTACCTAAAATTTGGAAGTCTTCCAACCTGGGGGATGTGAAAGCTTTAGGATATGTGGGTACCCTGGCCCACGAGTTCAGCACAGGTAAAGCAGAGCCAGGAATCTCCACAAAGCTTTTTCCCTCTCACCCGAGGACATTTTTGCATTTATCTTTCAGACAGAGCGGGAGGGAGAGAGGGAGGAAGAGAGAGAGAAACATCAATGTGAGAGAGACACACACAGACTGGTTGCCACCCACATGACCCCAACTGGGGCCGGGGACAAACTGCAACCAAGGTATGTGCCCTTGGTGGGAACTGAACCTTGGTCTTTTTGGTCCACAGGCCAACACTCTAACCGCTGAGCCAAACTAGCCAGGGCCACAGAGCTTTTAAAATAAATTTTTTAAAAATCCTCACCTGAGAATATTTTTCTATTTATCTTCAGATAGAGTGGGAGGGAGAGAAAGGGAGAAAGAAAAAAACATCAATGCGAGAGGGACACATCGACTGGTTGCCACCTGCACAACCCCAACCGGGGCCTGGGACAAACCGCAACCGAGGTTATGTAACCTTAGCCGGAATCGAACCCAGGACCCTTTGGTCCATGGGTGACACTTTTACTGCTGAGCCATACTGGCCAGGGCGTAAAACTTTCCTAAAACAGTTTAGGGTCCTGGCTGGTTTGGCTCAGCAGTTAGAGTGTCGGCCCTTGGACAGAAGGTTCAATTCTGGTCAAGACCATGTACCTGGGTTGTAGGTTTGATTACACGCCCTGGTTGGGGTCATTTAGGAGGCAACCAATCAATGTGTCTCTCTTATATTGATGTCTCTCTCTCTCTCTTCTCCCTCCCTCCCTTCCACTCTCTCTCTCTCAAAAAAAAAAAAAAAAAAAATCAATAGAAAAATATCCTCAGGTGAGGATTAACAACAAAAAATCCAGTTTAGGTTGCTAGAGACACTAAAATGCCACCTGCATTTTTCCCCCGTTTTCATTTCTGCCAACCAACAACAGAAATCCTAAGATTTCTCAACAAAGTGATCTATGATGAACAGAAGAGCTTACCACCTCCCCCTCTCTCATACACAATGCTACCATGACAGACTCACAATTGGTATACATAGATCAAGAAACTGGCAAACACATAGATGGAATGTCTACTGAGCCAATGAGTGTACAATTTCTAAGAACAATAAAATGCCCTGGGGGTGGTGGGGAGGAGACCACCGGAGCTCATGCAATGATCAAATGGAAAGATGATCAACCATTAGGAGCAGACCCTGCAAAATTCTCAGAACTATAGAAGTCTTTGGGCTTTTGCATTGTTACAGACTTGAAATAAGAGTACACTGAACATAATAAATATTTATTGTGCCTCACACAGATTCTATCACCACATCACTAATCTAAGTTCTAGAAGTTTACACAGTAACATTACACAGAGACTTCAGGACCATGTAGGAGCCTTTGGCTCCATTCAACAGAGAAAGAACTGCTGTAGGTCATTTGATCTCTCAAGGCCTCAGTTTTGTCTTCTGGAAGAGGGGTTTAAGACCATTTCCTTTTCCAACTTCCAGGATTGTTGTAAAGACTTAAAGCAGCCATGTAAAACAATTAGTCAACTTTGAGCATTTAGATACTATTTTATGCACTCACCCAAACATGTTTAAGAACCCACATAAAACATCCTGTGGTAGGCTCACTTATAAAACAATGTATACATACTTGTAATACATATATTATGTGTCCATTTTCATGTGCATGTTTATTCATATTCATATATACAGTTAAATCTGAAAATCGTACCTGTCCCTCCCTTTACTAGTTGAAGCAATCTCACAGTAGGCGTACTCTCCCCACAAACACAAACAAGTACAAGGGACTTTACAATTAAAAGCAGATACACTGGCCCAGCCAGTGTGGTTCAGTGGTTGAGCGTCGACCCATGCACCAAGAGGCCGCTGGTTTGATTCTTGGTCAGGGCACATGCCCGGGTTGCAGGTTTGATCCCCAGTGGGATGTGTGCAGGAGGAAGCCGATTGATGTTTCTCTCATTGATGTTTCTCTCTCTCTCTCCCTTCCCCTCTCTCTAAAAAGCAATAAAAATACATTAAGAAAAGCAGATACACTGTTTTGCCACCTGAACTGTTTTCATTTTTGGAGGCAGAGCAAAGTGTAATGAGAAGGTGGGATGTTCAAGGAGGGCTGGTGGGTGGTAGAGACAGGCAGAAGCATATAGGAAACCTGAAAAAGGCAAGCAGAAGAAGATGAAGATGAAAACTAAAATTCCAAAAAGGTAGTTGTGTTATTTCCAATTTTGTACCAACCCGTCTTCCTCTTCCTCTGATTTGATGTCCTCTGATCAGTTCCTCTTCCAACATAACCTGAAGAAAGGGAATCCTTTCTGCTTTCTTAGAGGCTTCAGAACTAAGTTACAGCTCAGCATCAAGATATGTGGAGCAAGGATGACAACTGACTTGTGCCCTTGGGCAAGTTCAGACAGTTTGGTCTACTCCTGGGAAGACCTGGATTCTATTTACTCCTGAGAGACAAACCAGCAACAGCAGTGCCCAGAATGCACTGGAGAAGGCAGATAGGCATCAGCATCAGGAGAAGGTAGTCAGACCAGTTCTTTTCAGTTGTTGTCCGAGTCTCCTCCGGCAACTGACAGAGGATGGGACTCCCCACAGAAACAGCAGGTAGCCTTAGCATGGCCCATAACCAGAGCTGAGTACAGAGAACCTGATGGGTTGACTGAGAGTCAGTGATTGACAGCTGGGAGCCTGGGGCCCTTCCAAATCATCTCCAGACTTTGATGATGAAGCACCAGTTATATCTCTCCCAACTCGCCTTCCATCACCCGCACCATGACATACAGCTCGGCCAGACCCACCACAGAGGCGACGATCAATGCAGCCAGTATCCGCTGGGGAGGGAGAGAACCAGGCTCAGGGGATGAAGGCCAACCTCCGACATCTCTAATAAGGATGAAGAGGACCCTAACCCAGCCCGTAAGTTGGGGGAAAGGGAAGAAAAGAGCATCTGAATTCTCCTGAGGTTATTATCTACCCACAAGACTACTGAAAAACTCAAATGCTCCTCTTATTTAATGCATAAATATTTGTTCAGTACCTAACCTATGCAGGGGATTTTCACATACATCCTCCCTTTCCCACTAACACCCCCACCTGGAGAACCCTACCCTGCCCAGTGCCTACTCACCGAGGCCATTTCTGTGAAAACATACTGACTTCCAAGGTAAGTGCAGACAAAGGCAGCTGCCACCGTGACAATGAAGTTGAAGATGGTGATGACTAGAGCCTTCACTGACCTCACTTTGGGGAGGAACCCAAGGAAGAAACTTTTAGGTCAGCATCCTCCAGGAGGCCCTCTTATCTCATAGCTGCCTCCCCCATCATTTGGGGTTCCCTTAAACAGCAAACCTGAATAGCGCAGGGTTTACCCCAGAGCACAGGGGTGGGAAGGAGTGCCATGACTGACCCCTCTCAGGGAGAGACTTTAGCCCCTGATATCCCAGTATCTTACCTTCTTTGCCCAGATCACTTAGAATCCCACCATGCCTTGAATCCTGGGAAAAAGAAAAATCAAGTGATTCATAATGGGAACAGCTCAGAGGCAGCCCTGAGAGTATCCATTTATAAGTTGGTTCAGCCCTTTCCCCACCAAAACATTAACTCTTTCTTCTCCATAGATTATTTTGTCTGTGACCAATTGGATTCTTTTCTGGACCACAGATCAAGCATTTCAAAGAAAGGACATAGGCTCCCAGTACTCATCTACCCCTCTCCAGCTTCAGGGCAGGAGCATGCCATAGAACGGTAGGGAGCCCTGTTGGAAGAAAGCCTTCAATGCGCCCTGGACAGTTTGGCTTAGCAGTTAGAGCATCAGCCCGTGGACAAAAGGGTTCGATTCCTGGCCAAGGGCACGTACCTAGGTTGCAGGTTTGATCCCTGGCTCTGGTCAGGGTCATGAAGGAGGCAACCAATTGATATGTCTCTCTCACATTGATGTTTCTCTCTCTCTCTCCCCCTGCCTCCTTTCCACTCTATCTTAAAATCAATGGAAAAACATCTGGTGAAGATTAAAAAAAAGAAAAAAGAAAGACTCTAGTCCTCATTCCCACCTCTACAACTTTTTCTGGTTAATGCTCACCTGAGGATACTTTTTTCATTGATTTTTTTTAGAGAGAGATAGAAACATTGATGAGAGAGAACAATGACTGGCCGCCTCCTGCATGCCCCCCACTGAGGACTGGGCCCACAACCTGGGCATGAGCCCTTACCAGGAATCAAACTGGCGACTTCTTGGTGCATGGGTCTACACTCAACCACTGAGCTACGCTGGCCAGGCTTTCCATTGATTTTTAGAAAGAGAGACACATTGATTGGTTGCCTCCCTGCATGAGCCCTGACTGAGGCTGGGGATAGAACCTGCAACCCAGGTATGTGTTCTTGACGGGAATTGAACCCAAGACCCTTTGGTGCACAGGCTGGCGCTCTAACCACTGAGCCACACCGGCCAGGGGCCCCACCTCTACCACCCCCCCCCCTTTTTGATTTTTAGAGAGAGTGGAAGGGAGAGAGAGAAACATCGATGAGAAAGAACATTGATTGGCTGTCTCCTGCATGCTCCCCCACTGGGGATCAGGCCCACAACCTGGGCATGTGCCCTGACCAGGAATCGAACCAGCAACCTCTTGGTATACGGGTTGATGCTCAACCACTGAGCCACACTGGCGGACCCACCTCTACAACTTTTAAGAATCAGTCATTGCCCAGGCTGGTTTGGCTCAGCAGTTAGAGCGTTGGCCTGCGGTCCAGAGAAACCTGGGTTCGGTTCCTGCTAAGGGCATGTAACTAGGTTGCAGTTTGTCCCCAACCCTGGTTGGGTCGTGTGGGTGGCAGCCACTCAATGTGTCCCTTTCACGTTGATGTTTCTCTCTCTCTCTCTCTCTCTCTCTCTCTCTCTCTCTCTCTCTCTCTCTCCCTCTCCCTCTCTCCCTCTCTCTCCCTCCCACTCTATCTGAACAAAAAAACAAAAAAATGTCCTCGGGTGAGGATAAAAAAAAAGAATCAGTCATCACCTGGTCAGTGTGGCTCAGCGGCTGAGCGTCGATCCACGCACCAAAAGGTCGCAGGTTCTATTCCCAGTCAGGGCACATGCTCAGATTGTGGGTCAAATCCCCAGTGCGGGGAACGCTGGAGGTGGCCAGTCAATGTTCTCTCTTATTGATGTTTCTATCTCTCTCTCCCTTTCCCTTCCTCTCTCTCTAAAAAATCAATAAAGGGGAAAAAAAAAAAAAAACAGGCACCATCTAGGCCCAGAGACTCAGTGAATGAGCTGGGAATTCTATTTGGTTTGTATGTAACACAGAGCTTCTTTGGTCCCTGAACAGTATACAAACCAATCTGTTATTTCTTTCCTCTGTGCCTCTTCCCAGTGCAGGGCCTTGCTTTCTGGGGCTACTCAGTCCATGAACTGAAGAGCAGGCCCTTACCTGACAGGTGACATTACGGGTGATCCGCTTATATTCCTCATTGGCCAGCTGTATCTTAATTTTCTCCAGACGGGCAACTAGCTCTGGGTTCTAAAGCAAGAAAATCAAATGAGAAGAATAATATTGCCAGCTTGCTAGAAAGTATGTCACAATAATTGGTTTCAGGGAACAAAGTGCTGCTAAGGGTACCAGGAGACCCATGTACCAGTTCTGCCTCCACTGCTCTGGAAACTGTTTTTTAATGGATGTTTTCCAAGCTGTCAAACATGGAGGACAATACCTGGTTCCCCCACCCCACCTCCTCAAAATTTAAAAGACAAACTTTTGAACCCAAAAGTTGACCCATAAATCTGGATGTATCACAAATAAGTTCAATTCAGTTAACACCCACTCTCACAAATATTTTCCTTACATACCCTAGGAGGCTTCACCACCTCTGGGAGATAGATTTCACTGCCTTCCAGGAGCTCATGAAGGTACAGTGTGGATTCTGGGAAGAAAAGATTTCCACAAATATAATGATCCAAACAGATGAGGTAGGAGGATTAAGTTGAAAAGGATTTAGTATTCTTTCTACTAAAATAAAGCATGACTATTGCTATACCAGTTCATCTCCAAGATCATTTTCTTTCTTTTTTTCAAACATATGTTTTTATTGGTTCAAGAAAGAAACCTTTTCTCTTTATTGATTTTAGAGAGGAAGGGAGAGGGAGAGGGAGAGAGAGAAACATCAACTGGCCACCTTCTGCATGCCCTCCACTGGGGACTGGGCCCACAACCTGGGCATGTGCCCTGACTGGGAATCAAGCCTATGACCTCTTTGTGCACCAGTGCACGCTCAACCACTGAGCCACACCAGCTGGGCTGTTTTTATTGATTTTTTTTTTGAGAGAGAGATAGAAACATCCATGGGCTGCCTCCTGCACACCCCCTACTGGGGATCAAGTCACAACCAGGACATGTGCCCTGACTTGCAATGGAACCCAGACTTCTCAGTTCATGGGATGATGCTCAATCCACTGACTGGGGTCCAGCTGGGCCCCAGAATCATTTTCAATTGGGAAGAATATAAGACAATTCCACACAATCCTCTCCCAGTGCTACACAGCTGAGTTTAACTGTCAGCTCTCAATTATCCTGGCAATGGTCACAGCTATCACATAAGCCATTTATTTACATTGTCTTTAGGTTAAGTCATTTCTGTGGCCAGAACTGTCCTAGGTTTAAGTCACAGTGAATACTCAGAGGACACTGTACTAAAGGATCTCTGAGGTCCTTTTAGTTCCAGAAGTTAAGCAGTCTACCCTGTGCACTTCTGGGTGGGCTATGTTAATTCTGGCAAAAGACCTTGCATGCCAATTTATCCTATCTCCTCCCTTTACACTTAAGGTAACTGAGGCCCAAGGAAATTACTCCTCCAGTGGGAGTCAGTGACAGAGGTAGGATAGAACTCAGATGCTACTGCCAGTTTAGACCTTTCAACACAGCCTTCTATCACACTATCTAAAAAAAACCAAAAACAGTCAGATTTGACCACTTTTGCTTTTGGGATAGGAAAAAAACCAGATTCTCAAACAGGACAAACTCACTATGCTTAGCTGGGTTTTGATGTGGCTTAAAAGGAAGAAACTGAACCTGTGAGGTGGTACTGGTTTAGAACTTGGACTTCGTCAAGGGTCAGGTGGGCCTACTTGGGCCTGGAAGTAAAGTAGGGACTCTCAAGAAAGCAGAAACTGCACAAATAAATGTTGTAATCCATGAGGAACTTCCATGTAAGTTGTGAAGGGAGTGGGTTGCCCTAGGATTTATGAAGTGACTCTTGGGTTGGCTCGATGACCGTTCCGCGGGCGAAGGTGAGTGCAAAGGAGAGTGATGGATAAAGATGCTGGAGGTGGGAAAAAGACCTTAAGAAGGAACAGACTCTGGAAAAAAGGAGGCGACTCCGGACTGAAGAATGGATCTCACCCCTTTCTCTCAGGTACTGGTGCAGATCCCGGATCAGGCGGAAGGAAACCAGGCGTGCGGGACCACTGGGGTGATCACCGCCCTTGTGCTTCTTCTGCAACGCGGCCTCAAGCTCTGCCCGCAGCTTCCGTGGCAGCTGCTCTTGCTCCAGCTCCCCGCCAGGGGCCAAAGCGCGCACCAGGCGCTCACCAGCAACCAAGTAAGACGCCATTTCTAGCCCGCTCTACGGTCAGGTGACCCCGAGCCGGGACTTCCGCCAGCGGTGCACCGGAAACACCACGGAGCTGGCGGGGCGGGGCGGGGCGAGGCACAGGGCCAAGGGGGCGTGGCGCGGCGCGGCGCGGCGTGGCGCAGGGCAGTGTGGGGCGGGGGCGGAACGCCGCCCGGCCGCGGGTCGGGCCCTGTGTCAGCAGCCCAGCAGACGCTCTTGGGGGGGACATGGCGGGCTGTGTGGCCCGGCGGGCCCTGGCCGTGGGCAGCCGCTGGTGGTCCCGGTCGCTGACTGGGGCCCGGGGGCCAAGGCCGCTCTGTGCGGCGGGTGGAACTGGGGCCTTCTTACCAGCGGCGACCACGACGCGGAGGCACCTCTCGTCCCGGTGAGGGACGGACCACGGGGCCGGGGCCCGGAGTCTAGGGAGTGTGTTCCTGGCCAGGGAGGAGGCTAGGAGGTCCGGTCCCGTGAGGGTGATTGGAGTTCGACCCGGGAGAGGGTCCCGGCCGGGAGCCGACCTGCGTGCGCCTCCTAGGATGTGTGCCAGGAGCAGAGAAGGGAGCGCGGTCCAGAGCCCTGGGTTGTGCGGCTGGCTCTGAGGGACAACTCGTAATCCTCCCAGAGTGACTCCTATAACCCGAGTGGGGATCTGCGAGCGCTGCAGTTTGTGGGCAGCCTTGTCATTAAGCCCTAGGGTTTTTGACTTCGACTCCCCCAGTCCCGGATTGGGTTCAGGCCTCCCTCAGAAAGATGCTCGAAGTGGAAAACGGGACTCTTGAGTCTGAGCCCTGCTCGGGTCCCCGGTTTCAGTGTGACCTTGGGGAGACTGTTCTCTATGTGATTTGAGAAAAGGGGGCTTGAGACCATGGGGATGGTGTAAACACTGCCTCTAGGGATGGGACAGGCAGATCTAATTGGGGCCAGTGGATCAAGTGGGAGGAAGCATAATGTTCACATTTCAAAAATGGTAAGAATAACACTGCTTTGAAGAGTCCCTAGAAAAAGCACTTGTCCAGAGAGGTCGCTGAGAGAACTGATCTTTTAGTGGCTGAGATTAGACGCTTATATTGGGGAGAGATGATAACTATTTGCATTTTCAGACCCCTGTGCAAATTGATGTAAATCTGAACAAAACCTAGATTGGGAGACTACTAGGTACAACGTAGGACGTACCTACGATAGGAAATCTAGAGAGGATGATTAAGCCCTTCAAGGGCAGGGTGAAGACTGCAGTTGAGATGGGGGGGAGATGTACTTGGAATTATAACATAGAACAAATATTTTTTGAGCTGGCATACACTAGGCTCTGAGGGGCAACACATGCTAATCAGACACAGGCATTGCTCCCAGGATACTTAGTCTCTAATGGAGATAAGACATGGACACAAATAACTGAAATGCAAGGTGGAGAGGACAGTTAAAGTGCTGTGGGAGGTCAGGAGGTTGGCTCAGGGAGGAGAGGGAGGCAAGGAACACAGTTAAGTAGGGCATGAGGGCACGATATGAAGAATGCTGAGAATGAAGAGAAGAAAGTGATCTGGGAGCCCAGGCCTAACATGGAAACCAAGGAGGGGCCTGTGGCTGGACCACAGAGGAGGACAGGCAGAAGCTCTGTGGAGTGGTGATTTGGCAGAACCCTTAATCTGTTTCAGCTGGCCCCACTACCCTGACCCTTCTCTGCTGTCATTGCTTTGGCACCTCAGTATCCTAGTAGCTTTTTCTAATGGATAAGTCCTATTACCTCCTAAGTTGCTCAGTTGCTTGTTCTGTTCCTTCCTAATCAGAAACCGACCAGAAGGCAAAGTTTTGGAGACAGTTGGTGTGTTTGAGGTGCCAAAACAGAATGGAAAGTATGAGACGGGGCAGGTGAGTGCTGGGTTGGGTCATCTTTCCTTTTCATGGTGTGCTCTGCCTCTGAAAGGGTCAGATTTGGTCATAGGGCTGAATGTTATGGTTTTCTGCCTTGGTGTTTGGCGCCAGACCAGAATCACAAGTGTTTAAAGGTGGGTTTCTGTTTTCCTGCATTTGAAAGCATTCCATGCATGTATCAATGGGTCCTCTCTCCAAGTTAGTGTGGACAGAGATGGTTTGGACTATAGTGAGGAGAGAGAGCCAAATTACTGAAGAGTCCTCTTAACATAGATGGTGGGAAGCTAGTGGAGAGAGCTTTCAGAAAATCATACCTGCCCAGCCAGAGTGGTTCACTTGGTTGAGCATCATACTGTGCACCAAAAGGTTGCTGGTTCGATCCCCAGTCAGGGCATGTGCCCGGGTTGCAGGTTCAATCCCTGGTTGGGGTGCGTATGTAGGGCAACCAATCTATGTTTCTCTCTCTCTCTCCCGCTCCCCCTTTCCCTCCTTCCTTCTCTCTCTCTCTAAGCATGTCCCTGGGTGAGGATTATTTTTATTTTATTTTATTTTATTTTATTTTATTTTATTTTATTTTATTTTATTTTATTTTTTATCCTCACCCAAGGACATTTTTTGCATTCATATTCAGATAGAGAGGGAGGGAGAGAGAGAAACGACTGGTCGCCACCCACACAACCCCAACCAGGGCCTGGTACAAACTGCAGCTGAGGTATGTGCCCTTAGTGGGAACCAAAGCCAGGTCTCTCTGGTCCTCGGGCCAATGCTCTAATTGCTGAACCAAATTGGCCAGGGCTCGGGTGAGGATTAAAAAAATTAAAAAATAAAAGCAAATCTTTGGTGCTTTGTCACAGTTGAGCTCTTTGCAGTGTAGTAAGCTCTGGTGTGAGACTCTTTTTCTGTATCAGCTTTGTTCCTGGTTCACTGAGATGAATTTAGGCTTCTTGTAGGTAAGGGCTTTTCATTTATTGAACATTTTTTGGAATGCTTACAATGGACTGGGCATTGTGCACTGGAGTTAAGTCAGAAAGCAATGCCTTTATGGAATTGATAGTTTAGAAAGAAATTGTGATATGCAAAATGATCAATGGCTATGCACTGTGCTAAGTGGAGGGAAGGTCAGGGAACACTTTCTCGGGGCCTACATTGTGGCCTGAAGGATGAATAGAAGTCAGCTAGGTGAAGAGCAGGTAAGAATGTTCCGAAGTTGGATGGATCACAGAGCTCAAGGAAAAGAGTGGTGAGACCTTGTGCCAGAGTTGGCGTACCTGTGCTGCTTTGTGGTTTGGGTCCCACCTGGATGGATGTGCTGAATTGCAGAATCATTGAGGCCTCTCTTTCCTCCCAGCTTTTCCTTCATAGTGTTTTTGGCTACCGAGGTGTCGTCCTATTTCCCTGGCAGGCCAGGCTATATGACCGGGATGTGGCTTCTGCAGCTCCAGAAAAGTAAGTTGCCCTGTATTGTGCCTCACAGTGTCCTCAGGAGGAGGCCTGACTCATGGCAGACATAATTGGGACCCTAGGGGTGAAGATAGCATCCTCCTGGGCCTTAGGAACAGCCCCAGAGTGCTCCCTTGGCACTAATACCCATGGAGACAAAAGTGCTGAGTGCCAGGGACAGTTTTAAGCCAGAGGGTTCCTTTAGGCCTCCCCAGGATACTCTCACAAGCTAGCCTCAGTTTGCATTACAGTTACCCCAGAAGGCACTGGAGGACTAGACTTCTTGACATTCAGGTAGAATCTTTCCCTTAATCCCTTATCATCATTAGATTACATTTAAAAAAAAGCCCAGCTTCATTCAGTGATCACAGTCCCTGGGATGTGGGAAGAGTGGGATACTCTGGGGTTCAGGGACTGAGGCAGCAATTTGATTTTCTCAACATCTGCTGCTTCCAAGAGGCAGCCAGAGAGTAGGACAAATGATGACTCTGTGACATGGGTCCTCTGCATTCCATTGTTTGCACCTGACTGGGAAGTGGGTAGGCTGCGTGTTGCTAAAGCCCCTTCAGATCAGTGTTTAGATGAGAGGCTAGGGTAGGGAACTGGGGCAGGCACTGATTCTGTTTCTCTCCCGGTGATCTTGGACTTCTCCTACCCTGTAGAGCAGAGAATCCTGCTGGCCACGGCTCTAAGGAGGTGAAAGGCAAAACTCACACTTACTATCAGGTGCTGATTGATGCCCGAGACTGTCCACATATAGTAAGTAAGCAAGAAGGCTGGGCCTGGGGTTCCTCTCCATGGGAAGACCTGAACCCCAATAGGGACAAGGGGAGGGAGAGGGCTCAGACAACCCAGATCAGCACTGGGTCCTAAGTCCTCAGTACTGGATAGTGACTAAGAAAGTCTGACTTGCTTCTTGCCTTAGTCTCAGAGGTCTCAGACAGAAGCTGTGACTTTCTTGGCAAACCATGATGACAGCCGGGCCCTCTATGCCATCCCAGGTGAGTATGAGCATCTGAATGGTGCCTGTCAACGAGGGGTCCGGTGTGTCTCTGGTCTGTGGGCCGACGCTCTAACCACTCAGCAAAACCGGACAGGGCAGGTCCGGTGTGTCTCAGGGAGAGGATTCAGATGCCCCTGTGATGTCCTTTAGTCAGCTGAGAGGGATTCCAGATGCTGAGAGCAATGGTACCAGGGTTATCTCACCCTGGGGCAAGGCCAGGAATTGTTTCTTCTCAGCCCTGTTCCTCCCCTCTTCCACATGAGTTTCACTGTTTCTTTTTCTCTCTGTGCCAGGCCTGGACTATGTGAGCCATGAAGACATCCTCCCCTACACCTCCACTGATCAAGTTCCCATCCAGCACGAGCTCTTTGAAAGATTTCTTCTCTATGACCAGACAAAAGGTAATTTCTCTCGAGAAGAGAAGCTGGAAAGGGAGGGCCCTTTCTTCAAAGACAGTACATAGAAGTAATTTCAAAGCTGTGTTTCCACAACCTTATTTAACCTCCCATTAGATATGATGGCTATCATCTCCTCCAGATATGGAGACTGAGGCTCAGAGATGATGAGAAGGAACTCAAGATTACTAGTTAGTGGCAGAGTGAGGTCTGAAAACCAGGATTCCTAACTCTCTGTTCTGTTCTCTTCCCATGATGCCACATACCTCCTCAGGGCTTCTTGGAAGCAACTCTATGCTTTTTTCCAGCCTGTGTTTTGCTTTATGTTTGGGTGTCTTATTTACCTGGGCCACTACTGGGAAGGGTATTCTAGGAGGGGCAATTGGAAAATGGGTGTAATGCCCTGAACTCTGGCCTGCACTAACCAGTCCTCCTTTTGCCCCAGCACCCCCCTTTGTGGCTCGGGAGACACTACGGGCGTGGCAAGAGAAGAATCACCCCTGGCTGGAGCTCTCCGATGTCCATCGGGAAACAACCGAGAATATCCGTGTTACTGTCATCCCCTTTTACATGGGCATGAGGGTATGTGCTCAGCATGGGGCCCTTCCCTCTGGGCTAGGCCCCCAGATCCTGTATGGTATTCTCAATGTGACTGCTGGAACAGGTTCCAAATTTCAACCATGTGCCTGTGCTGCTGAGTCCTCCATGTATTGGGTGGGGTCGAGCAGCCTGTTGGCAATGGATGACACCAAAACCTAGAGCAGGGAAACTTTTGGATCCCAGGAGGAGTCCTCCAAGCTGATCCTTTCTTCTCTTCTGGCTCAAAGGGGGCCATGTTCATCAAGAATATACACATACTTGTCGAAATCGTTGTGGCCTGATCTTCATACTTTTTATGCATTAGTCAAACATTTAATGAGCTATTTCTTGCCTGGCTGTAAGCTAGGTCCTGGGGATACAGGTAAAAATGAAACGTCCCTGCCTTCCAGAGCTCATGGTAGTGGGGGATGTCAACATACACGGTACCCAGTATTACAGTAAGGTTGGGCTATGGTAGGGCCAAAGAGGGCAGTGGCCTGGGCCAGCAGTGAGGAGTAGGGAGCAGCAGCTGGAAGGGAGGGTGTTCCAGAGAAAGAGAAGAGCCCTGTGGCTGATAAGGAGGGAAGCCAGGGATGGACCCAGGGGAGGCTACCCGCCACAGTGGGCTCATTGGCCATAGTTTAGTCATCATCATCATCCACAAACATTTGCAGATTTGGTCTGTCTCTGCAACCTTCCTGAAATACATCTGCTCCATTGGAGAGATGTTGAGTGGAACAGACTTGGTCCTGCCTTCTGCTCTGGGACTTACATTCTTTGTGTTTTTTCCCCAGGAAGCCCAGAATTCCCACGTCTACTGGGTGAGTGTCTCCCTCGGGCAGGAGGAGCTCAGGAGGGGCGCATAGTGGGGCATGTTGGGAGGTGGCGGAGTTTACCTCTGGGGCGTGGGACCTGTGCAATGCAGGTGTTAGCCTCTTTTGCCTTTTGCTCTCATAGAATTCTGGGCAGACTAGCCCAAAGTTTACTTTCTCAGATGTGAACTCTCTCCTCCACTCCCACAGTGGCGCTACTGTATCCGCTTGGAGAACCTTGACAGTGACGTGGTACAGCTCCGGGAGCGACACTGGAGGATATTCAGTCTATCTGGCACCTTGGAGACAGTGCGAGGCCGAGGGGTGGTGGGCAGGGTGAGCATCATCATCAGTGGGCCAGTAATGCCCATTCCTGGTCCTGCCCAGCAGCCTTCAGGGCGTATTGCTTGGTTCCTCCTCTTCTGTGGTTAGGGAAAGAAGTTCTAGATGTGAATGCAGTTGGTGAGAAACCTTAACAACAACCCTGTGAGATAGGTTTCTTACAACCCATTTCACAGGTGAAGAGTGAGACCATGAAGTTAACTAGTCCATGGTCCCATAGCTCGTGGTGGCAGGACCTGGATTAGACTCCAAGTGAGTCTGACATCAAAGCTGTGTGGCTGCCCTGGCCGATTTGGCTCAGCAGTTAAGAGCGTCGGCCCACGGACCAGAGAGTACTGGATTCACTTCCCACTAAGGGAACGTACCTTGGTTGCAGTTTGTCCCCAGCCCTGGTTGGGGTCGTGTGGGTGGCAGCCAGTCGATGTGTCTCTCTCACATCGATGTTTCTCTTTCTCCCCCCACCCCTTCCTGCTCTGTCTGAAGATAGATATAAAAATGTCCTCAGGTGAGGATTTAAAAAAAAAAAAGCTGTGTGGCTTAGTTGGTTAGAGCATCATTCCATGCACTGAAGGGTTGTGGGTTGTATTTCTAGTCAGGGCACATATCCAGGTTGTGGGTTCGATCCCCAGTAGGGGCACATATGGGAGGCAACTGATCAATGTTTCTCTCTTTCTCCCTCCCTCTCTGACTAGAATCAGTGAAAAATGTATCCTCAGGTGAGGACTGAATAAAAAAGCTGGTGTAGAGTTTTTTATTTTTTAATCCTCACCTGAGGATATTTTTCTATTTATCTTCAGATAGAGTGGGAGGGAGGGAGAGAGAGAGAAACATTGACGTGAGAGGGACACATCGACTGGTTGCCTCTCGCACGACCCCAACCAGGGCCGGGGATGAACTGCAACTAGGTACATGCAACTAGGTACATGCCCTTGACTGGAATCAAATCCATGACTCACTGGTCCATGGGCCCATGCTCTAACCGCTAAGCCAAACTGGCTGGGGCATGGTGTAGAGTTTTTGTTGCTAGCACAGTGCCTTTTTAAAAATCTGAATTTGAGTTTCCTTAGATGGGAATGCATCTCTTCCATGCCCCCACTACTTCTGGTGTCCTTCTGCCTTTTTACATGTTACATCCTCTGCTGGTTCCCTTGAGGAAATCTGATTTTGCAATTCCTGTACTACACTGTTTCCTGAGAAATAAAGTCATGAGAAGGCCAGGGGTCACTTCTAATACGCATTTATCCAAGTCAGCAGGGATTTGAGGAAGCATGGTGGGATAGAGAGTAAGAAAAATAAGGCTTTGGCCCTGGCCAGTGTGATTCAGGAGTTAGAACAGTGACTCACACACTGGAGGGTCGCAGGTTCGATTTCCAGTCAAGTGCATGTACCTGGGTTGCAGGTTTGATCCCCAGTCCTGGTCGGGGCATGGGTGGGAGGCAATCAGTTGATGTGTTTCTCTTACATCAGTCTGTCTGTTTCTCTCTCTCTCTCCCTCCCTCTCCTCCCTTCCACTCTAAAAATTCAGTGGAAGCCCTGGCTGGTCTTGCTCGGTGTTTAGAGCATCAGCCCTTGGGCTGAAGGTTCAATTACTGGTCAAGGGCACATACCAGGGATGCAGGTTCAATCCCCTGCCCTGGTAGGGGTTGTGCAGGAGGCAACCAATTGATGTGTCTCTCTCACATTGATGTTTCTCCCTCTCTCTCTCCCACTCTCCCTCCCTCTTTCTCTCTTTCTTCCCTCCCTCCCTCCCTCCCTCCCTCCCTCTCTCCCTCTCTATCTAAAAATCAACAGAAGAATATCCTCAGGTGAGGATTAATAACAACAAATATAAAAGAATAGGGCTTTGGAGTTGGACAGTCTGGCTTCAAATGTCAGCTGTGTTCTTTACTCACCACATAACTATGATTAACCAAAAGCTCAGTTTCTTACTGCTGAAATGGGGATTACAGCCATTACCTTATGAATACTTGGGGACTTAAGTCAGCAAGGGTTTGCAGAGCACTGCCATGGTGCCTTGCACTTAGGCACTCGGCGAATGGACACTGGAAGGAGGATTTACAAGAGTAGGTCCCATGTCTAGCATCTTCGCCTGATCCCCTCAGACATGTAGTCTGAGATTATCTTTCCCAGAGTCAGAATAAAAGGCCCAGGTCCATGGCTGTGCAGTGGAGGAAGCACTGGCAGGCATGAGCGGGCATCCAGTCCTGAGGAGCTGGCAGTCAGGAGCTGGCCCCAGGATACAAGGAGCTTGTCTGGCCTGACCTGTTTTGCCTGAACCGACAGGAACCAGTGTTATCCAAGGAGCAGCCTGCGTTCCAGTACAGCAGCCACGTCTCCCTGCAAGCTTCCAGTGGGCATATGTGGTGAGTGAGCCTGTGCTGGGGCTGGGGCAGGGGCAGCTCAGCTCCACACACACAAGCTGCAGGTCAGAAAAGTGGGAGCTCATAGCTTACAATTAATTCTGGGCCAAGTTAAGTCCTGAGATGGAGCCTTACCTGCTGTTCATTGTTGTGTGGGACTTGGCTGGTTTTTTATGACTGTTTTCTGGTTCCTTGTGTTTTTGTGGACTAAGGACTTAAGCCAAAGAGGTCTGGTGATTTGATATGCAGAGTTGCCTCCATAGTTTTTCCCCTGGTATCTCACTTTTTAAAATATATCCTCACCTGAGGACATTTTTGCGTGTATCTTCAGATAGAACGGAGGGAGAGAGGGAGGGAGAGAGAAACATCGACGTGAGAGAGACACATGGAATGGTTGCCACCCACATGACCCCATCCAGGGCCGGGGACAAACTGCAATCGAGGTACATGCCCTTAGCAGGAACTGAACCTGGGTCTCTCTGGTCCGAGGGTCGACACTAACTGCTGAGTCAAATCAGCCAGGGTGGTATCTCACTTCTTGAGCTGAAAGTGTGGTTGGGATTTTTATGCAGTGTGCATCTAAGGGCCAGAATCAGGACAGCTGTATTTTTTCTTCTCATGCAGGGCTAGGAAGGGCTCTTGGGTCCCTGGACCAGTGTTATGCTGGCATTAGCCAGGCAGAAGAGAGCCCAGGCCTGCCTTATCCTGCTGTCGTTCTAGAGCTGAGGACATAGGGCTATCCAAATCCTCAAGAGGGCCTCAGCCCTCACTCCTTTAAAATCAACTTCTCTGATCCACAGGGGTACGTTCCGCTTCGAGAGGCCTGATGGCTCCCACTTCGATGTCCGGATCCCTCCCTTCTCCCTGGAAAGCAATAAAGATGAGAAGACACCACCCTCAGGCCTTCACTGGTAGGCCAGCTGAAGCCCTGAGTGGCCAGGCTCAGTCCCCAAAGAACAGCTCTCATCCTACAATTGCTGCAGAACTCTCTCCATCATGGGCCACCATGGGTCTCTTAATTGTTTGCGCCATTTGAATATGGGGTTCTTTTTTTGGTGGGTGGGCTATAACTGTTTTTCTCCAGAAGACCCATGTAGGACTCCTCCAAGGTTGGCCTCCTCTGTAAGCCCTGCCTACACTGTGTTCCAGTAGACCTTTCCACCAGGAACTCTGTGTTCAGCTGCCACAGGCCTGGAGGAGTTTCCTGGTCTGTCACACAAGTTGTTTGGAATGTGAGGTTTGGTAAATAAACCAGTGCACGCTTGGCCACCCTTGCCATTTTTGCCCCCAGGGTCTCAGGCTCCATTTTTGACCCAGTGGGGGCCCTTGATCGCTTTCCTTGCTCTCCTTCCAGGAAGCTCCCCCTTTCACTAGGGTATATATTTCCCTTCTGAGGGTTGGGGTTGGCTAGACATCTCCCAGGGTCACTGTGTCGCTCAGTCAGTGAGGTGGGGGCTGGGCTGGACTCCTGTTCTCTTCTTTACTTCTGCCAAGTGCAGAGTGAGAGGCCAACATCAGGGTCAGAGGAGTGGCCTGGCTTTTTTTTTTTAATTAATCCTCACCGGAGGGTATTTTTTCCATTGATATTTAGGGAGAGTGGGAGGAAGGAAACATCGATGTGGATATACATTGATTGGATGCCTCCCACGCGTGCCTGGCCAGGGCCAGGGATCAAACCTACAACCCAGATATGTGCCCTTGCCCCAGAACTGATCCTGTGACCTTTCTGTGTGCAGGCCAGTGTTCTAACCACTGAGAAACATTGGCCAGAGATGGCCTGGCTCTTAGTGCTGGCCAACCATTTCTGGCCTCACTGGGCCTGGCAGGGGAATGAGGCAAGCAACCGTTTCCTGGAGCAATGGGCTTGCAAGCCACGAGCACAGATTTGTCTTCAGACTACAAATGCAGAAATTCAACCAACAAGTGTAAAATACCTGAGGCACTTTAGGTATGGGTGGTGACTAAGCTAAGCTATTTTCTGAGCTTTTCACAGATCTCCAAGAGCCAGAGATGAAATATGCTGCATTTTGCCCTGATTCTTAGGGTTCCTGCTCCCCTGCTACTATAGTGATTGTTAAAGAGGTCATTTTATTCTTGAATTAATATTAAATCAGTTCCAGCCCTAATTAACGTTGTCCTTAATCCTCCACCAGGGGGAGCCTGGGTTGCAGAATTGAGGGCCAACTGGACTTAACGACCTAAGAACACAAGGTGGGGTGGTGAACACAAATACAAGAACTACATCCATAGCAGCAAGCTGACCAAGCTATACTCACTCACTGTAAGCACGGCTCTGTACCACTGCAGTGTAACATACTTTTATTAGAAATTAGTGTTTGTTTCCATCACCTATGCTGAACAACAAAGTTTTGTAGTTGTGTGATAAAGAAGTTCCTTCATGCCAGGACCAGTGCTATCCATAAGGCAGACCTTGGTCAGACAACAAACTGAATAAACCCAATACTGGTATGTGTCCTTAGCAGTGGGCTTCTAGTTTTCTGAGAAACTGATGAGAAGGGCTGACCTTCACCCACGCTTTTTGTTTACTTTTCTCTTGAGCTGCTTGGAGTTGAAAAATTCCTATGACCAAGAGTTGCTTTTTGATGGAGCTGTGAAACAAAATCCTCTAAGCCTTCACACCACAAAGTCTGATTTAAAAAGCTAAGATTACTTCAGTGAACTCAATGTTAGTATTTTTCTTAAAAACAAGGAGATATTTTCAATCAGAGAAAGTGTCTTGAGTTCCAGACTATTGTGCTTTCTCAAGAAGAAAGTCACCATGGAGACAGCAGAGGATCTGAATGTCAAAGCAGTAAGAGGCTACAGGAGCTGTGAAGGTCAAAGGATAATCCTTAAAATACTTCAGTGGGGAGCTGGGACTTTGAGTATTAAAGGACTTCAGGAGGACAGCTGAGGAAGTAGGCCAGTAGCCTCAGAATTATTCCAGGCTCTGTGAGAAAGGCACAAAGCCAAAGCCAGAATCTGGCCAAAGAAATGGATTTGTCTTCATCCCAGGCTGGAGAACTGTTTGTAGCTGATCACCACAGCACCTCACCTGAAAGTCTATACATTCAAGACTGTGACAAGTTGTAAAATACCTGATTAGACTCACAATTCCTTTGACCCATCATGTCATTTCAGGTCCTTGTTGAATGTCCGCTAACCCTGGCTTGGCATTTGCCCATGGGCTCTGTGGAATCAGCCATGAATAGCCACTTAGGGGCTTATTGTAAGAGTAGTTAAGAGATGAACTTGCTAAGTGGCTATGCTGCTTTATTCATTAGGCTGGCTGAACATTCCCTTCCTGGTGGCATTCCTTTGAAAAATAATTCAGATAACCAGTCTTCTAGGGCCTAGCCAAACAAAATGAAAACCAAAGCCCTAAAGAGGAACTTGCATCTTTGCCCAAGGGCTGGTGCTTGGCATCTCTATGGCCAAATTACCCAACAAGAAAGAAACGAAGAAACCTTTCAAGGGGCTTAGGCTGCTCACATTGTCCTGTGTTTAGAGACTCACCCTGGAAAGAACCACAATGCCCAACCAGGACACAAAACCAATAGCATGCGTGGGGGGAGGTGGGATGTATGGCCAAGCACACTCCATCTCTGGACAGGACTGTGGAGAATGTAGGACTCTAGGTCCAGTGGCCATGACCACAGCGTTCCTGCTGTGGCTCATGCTCCTGACCCTTAAAATGGCTCTTTGGCTCTACAGTAAGGACATCATTCTGTGGAACTGAGGGCAAGAAAAAGAAACAATTGTTAGACCCTAGGAATCAGTTATATGATTCTTAAGATGTTGGGGTAAAATGTCCTTTCTCAGAAGGGTGTTATTAGGACCACAAGTCCCAACTTACATATCCTCCCTCAGTGCTCTCTGGGCAGGCTGCTTGGCCAGCCTGGCAAAGCCAAAACTGGTCAGTGTTTTTATTGCTTCTTCTATCTCCTCCCTCAGATTGATTCTGAAGGGAAGGAGGGAATTAGGGTTAGAAAAAGACAACATGGGTCAAGGAAGAATACAATCTCCTCAACAAAAGTACAAAGTGCTTTAAAGAAATAGATCCCAAAGGTATCGAGATGGGCCCAGGGTTCTGCCTTACCCAGGGTCTTGGCATCCTACAGGGGTAGCAGGAATACCCAGTCCCCTCACTATTAGACTTATAACTATTCATTTCCTAGATTATTAAAAAAACAAAAACCTCATCAGGCTTGTGCTTAAACACCTTAGGAGAAAAGGAACCCCACCTTCCAAGAGAGTGGGTCTCCACAGCACCAGCAGCCACCTTCTCCACTGAATGACCCCACTCCCATGGGCCTCAGCTGAGGCCTAAAAGTAGCCCTTCAGTAGGGCAAAGGGGCGTTCAGCAGGGCCAAGGGGAATGTTCTTAGCAGGAGGTGGGCAGATTAATTCACCCTGGGGCCAAAGCAGCTCCCTGTAGGGCAGGAAGGGAGCCGCTGAGCAAAGGGACCAGGACTCAGTCATCTTGAAGTGCTCAGGGAACAGGGCAAAGGAATGTAGTCCCTCCCCTCCTCAAGCCCTCTGACCTCCCAGGCAGGGTCTGTCATGCCTCTGGGTGCTGGAGCAGAGACCCAGCCAGCAGCTGTGGGGGGTGGCCAAGGTGGCAGAATTCCATAGGAGGGGAGATAGGGTGTCCCATGCCCTGACTCCCTGAGGGTCTTGTCAGTCGCGATGGGCAGACTGGTGGCCGAGCTGCCGGTCATCATAAGTGCTATAGCGCTTGACATGGATGCGGCGGACGCGGTCCCGCAGTTCAAAGGTCTCTTCATCTTCACTGGGGGAAGCCTGGCGATGGCTACGGCTTGTGGCTTCCAACAGGGAGTTGTCAGGAACTCGGGGGGTCTCATAGAGTAAGACGTTGAGTGTCTCCTCATAGATTCGGGCCTCTGGAAATTCCACCTAGAATGAGGGGGACAAGAGGACCGACTGAACGTGGTTTCACCCCAAAGGGAGCAGCATGTCAGGGCCCCCGGCCCTGTGCTGGCTCAGAGGCCTCCAGAACTATCAGGCCAGTTGGCTTTCTGTCTCATGAGGCCAAGCGCAGGTCCCCTCGGAGAGAGCTGTGAGGAAATGCACCCTGTGTGTATGAGGATGCAGAAGGCTAGCACCGCTCACGTCCTCCTGGATCCCAGACCAATGGACTAGCATGTGCAGAGGTTAGGGCCTTACTCTGGTTAGGCCTAGGTACAAATACAACTCCAGTACTTAATAGCTGTGGGGCTTTGGGCGTAGCAGGCCTGAGTTTCCACCTGTGTAAAATCATGGTTCACATCTACCGCAGAGAGCTGTGAACATTAACTGAACGAGGGGTAGGGATGGCGTTCAAGGCGCCTGAATTCTAGACTACCTTGTGTCATCTTGAGCTTGTTCCCTCATCTGCCAAATAGGGAGACAGGCTCGAGCCTTGCCTCTCTCAGCTGTGGTGTGCAGAATCAAAAAGTTCATGAAAGAGAAAGCACTTCGGAAGGTAACGGGGACTGTTGCCACTTCCATAGCATAACCAGTCTCCACAGAGACCTGCCCCTGAATCCTGACTCCACTGATATGTGCACATGAGCTCCCACCCCAGAAAATGACAGGAGGAAGCAGGGCCAAGCTTCCCGGACTCTCAGATCACCCAGCTGTGGGCACTTTGGTAGCCTGGGGGCCAGAAGGTAATACAGAGCATGGCTGCTCTGAGCGCTTCGCATGCACATGACTGCCCCAGGTGAGCGCCCTTCCACCCTCAAAGCCCCGCCATCTCCCGAACACACTTGTGGGCAGCTACTGTCTGGGAGGACACCAACCACCTGCAGCCTGGGAGAGGGGTTAGCTGAGTTTATGTTAACTACCATCTAACAAATCCCCCACACAGGCCTGGTGCTCTCGTTACCGCAAAGGCTAAGCGACTGGGCAGGAACACCCAACTAATGGGCCACAGAAGAGATCTGACAGCTACTTCCACTGCACTGCGCTGCTTCTCTTAAGAATTGTCTCGTTTTCATAATAGCCGTTAAATTCACACGATTATTCCCATGTTTGCAAATGAGGAAACTGAGGCCCAAATGGTTTAAATGGCTTATCTAAAGTCAGTAAACTGGTAAATGGTGGCACTAGAATTCAAACCTGAATTGGGCCAAGTCCAAAGACCTGGTCCTTTTCATCACACTGACTGTTCCCTTCCCAACAACCCCTGCCTCTCAGCTGACCAGAACAAACAGTTCCATGCCATTCCCCGAGCCTCTCATGCTGGCTTTTCTCCTTGCCCAGCACCAACAGAGAATTTGGGAAAAACAGAGTGAAACGGATGCCCCTTCCACTCCCTGGTGTGTGTGCTGCCCCGACCCATGCAGAGGGAAGCACCCCCTACCTTGGTCTGCTTCTTCTCTGTGGCATACACAATGGAGGTGCAGCACACCTCTGCCAGCTTACGGCCCTGGCCATAGAATGACCAGCAGCAGATCTCATCGCCGATGACGTCCTTGATGAAGAGCACACGACCGTTGAAACGCAAGGAGAGCTTGTCAAACAGCTCGATGTTTTTCAGTAGGTGGTCATCCGAGTTGCTGAAAAACCCAGGAGGGCCAGCAGGCCTGGGAATGAGGTTCCAGCACAGGGAGGGTACTAGCTGGGCTCTCCCCGCCCTTCCCCTAACATGCTGAAATGAAAAGTCAAGATGCCAGAGGGGACAGGAAGAGGAAGGGTCTCGGGGCACCATCTGGGTTTGGGGGCCTGCGTGGAAAAGAAGTTGAATTGGTTTTAAGCTAAAGTGGAGAGAACTGAGGGAGGGAGGTCTCTCATGAGGCCTGAAAGGAAGGAGGCTTGCTGCCATCTCCGCAGGATGCGTCCCCTTGCTGTAAGGGTGACGCTGGCAATGTGTGTATCCACGGAGAGTCACTGGGAGGGTTTGGGACTCTGAGCCTGCAGCCTCCTGCAGCCTAACTGGCCTGCTGAGAGGACACTGTGGGGGACAAGTGGGAAACTGGCCTAGGACAAAGGCTGGCTTAGGAGGAGTCCCAGCCCACTGGCTTCCCAGTGTCCCTCCTCCACCCCCGAAGATAATGCTGGGAAAACACCTGGCATGCTGCCCGACATGACAGATGTTAAGAGTGTGTTACATGTTCAGTCTCGTCTATATCCCAGCCGGGGCCCTGTACCAAGTTTCAAATGCCTCTGCCCTGATTTCCCTTCTGCTCTCTGTTCTTCCCTCCTAAGACCCAGACCCATGCCAACCATGCCAGGGGTGCAGGTGGCTTCCCTTGGGTCTGCTGCCAAACCTCCACTCTGGCTGCTCAGCCCTTCCCCAAGATCCCCGCCGACACCCCTGCACTGAGGCCAACCCTACCTGGTGTAGGAATACTTGTTGTTGCTTCTGTTGTACAGCAGCTTCACCACGGGCTGTGAGGGAGGAGAGTGGGGGGCTGGTCTGAATCCCAGAAGCCCCTGCCTGCAGCCCTCAGAGGTCCCTCAGAGATCCCAGTACCTTGGTGGAAGATTCGATGAGCCTCTCCTCCTCCTTCAGGGACGTGATGATGGGGATGTTGCACACAGGCTGGTAGGAATCCTTCTTGTCCTGGGTGACACACACAGCCGAGAAGCCCTTTTGAGATCTTGTTTGCCAGGCTTAGCCAGGCTTTCCCCAGGAACTTCAAAGCCCCTCTGCCACGGCCCTGCTTGCTGAGGCATCGGACAGAGATTAGGTGGCTCCTGGTAAGAGAAACTGCCGGCTGGCAAGCAGACTCCCATTTCCAGAAAACCTAAAATCCAGATATCTAGGCTATAAACTAGCAGCAGGGCCTAGTCATACTGCTTGAGTCCATCACCTTACAAACTGCTGGCTGCCCACTTGCTCGGCCTGGGCAACACCTGGTGTATCTAACTAGGTTTGGACTCATCAACCATACCTGCCACACAGCCTTCCAGGAACTGGACCCTAAGTCCCTGAAGGAGGGGGGCCAACTCCCACCCTTATCAACCAGCCCCAACTCTGCCTCCGTACCTGCAGGGCGGTCTGGCACATATTCACCAGGCCCTGGATGAGGTAATATTTCGCTTCAGCCATCAATTCCTTGATTTCTTGACGGTTCTGAGGGAGGATGATGGTGTCATCACGGAGGTAATTCAAAATGGTGCCAAAGTGCTTTCCACATCGGTCTATGAGGATCCAGCCTAGGGATTCAGATGGGCCCCGGAGGGTTACTGTTTGCCTCCAGGTACCTCAGAAGCAGGCAGCAGTAAAGGCCACCGAAGCCTGGTGACAGGTGGCAGAGAGCACATGAACACAGAGCACAGTGTAGCTTAACAGAACTGGGAACAGAACCTCAAGCTCTTAGGTCTTCAGTCCTCCTCCCGAAACCAACAATTGGCACATACGATGGGAGAAACAGGCCTACAGAGGCCTAGGCTCAGGAAAGCCGGGGCCTACCTCCTGACAACAGAAACCACCAGGCCCTGCTTGTGTCTGCCCACTGCCCAGTCACCAAGGCGATGCTCATGAGAATCTAGTCCCTTGTGAATTTAAAAAAAAAAAAAAGTATGGATAGCCTCCCTGGAAAATACGTAAACATACAATAATCTATGTACAATTCCAAAGAATTCTGAAGCTCGACTAAGGACTCCAGGTGGAGTCCTGTAGTAGGTGAACTGGAAAAGTGAACCTAGACTCTAGATCTGCCAGGTTTAAACCCTGCCCCGAACATCCCCAGGAACTCCTCCCTCCCGCTCCACCTTACCCAACAAGCCCTGATACCTCACCTTCTTTGTCAGTCAGCACCTCCATGCGCCCGCTGAACATGGCCTTGAGCATGGTGTCGTGCCGGGTGAGTGCCCGCACAGTGGTGTAGAACAGGGAACCGCCCACATTGAGCTGGACGTACTTGTTGCCCAGGCTTCCTCCCTTGAAGCCGCTTAGCTTGGGTTTGGCTCCTGAGGCTGGGCAGAGACAGGTATCCCCTGACATCTCCCGCTTCAGGTAGATCACCACACGGCAGGAGGTGGGCTTGGAAGGTTCCGCCGTGGTGGAAGGATCACGAGTGAGTGGCCTGTGGGGGCCAGAGCCTCATACTCTCAAGGCTGTGAGCAGGAGATGGGAGAAAAGATCAGAATCAGCAGGGGAGAGCCCCCAGCCAGAGGGGACAAAAGAAAAGACACCTGACCATCCAGTCATTCTCTTCTTGATAACCCCAAGGTTCCCTGGCGGAGGCTAAGGCCCTAGGAAAGATGCTCCTGCTGTTCCTTTTTTTAAAATCTTCACTGAGGATATATATTTTTTCTATTTATCTTCAGAGTGGGAGGGAGAGAAAGAGAGAAACACTGACGTGAGAGAGACACATCAACTGGTTGCCTCCTGCACGACCCCAACCAGGGCTGGGGACAAACTGCAACCGAGGTATGTGTCCTTGACGGGAATTGAACCCAAGACTCATTGGTCCGCAGGCCGATGCTCTACTGCTGAGCCAAACTGGCCAGGGTGCTCCTGCTGTTCTTTATGGTACCAGGAACCAGGTCTGAAAGCAGTTTCCCAGAGCCCAGAGGTGATCACTTCACCAGCCTCCCTGAGATTCAGCTCTTGGTGGCAAAAAGGACAAGCAAGCCCTTAGAGCCCGTCAGAGGAACAGACTGGGCAGAGCAGACGTCCTCACCCTGGGGATCTACCAGTCAGGGTCCAGTTATTTTCTTCTCCAGGTTCCCCGGGTCCAAGACTTTCAGCCAAACCTACTGGGAGTCCAGCCAGCCTAGGAGTTTCCCAGGAGCCTGATGGACAGAATATACTTCCTTTTTAAAGATTCCAGGCTCAGAAGCAGCCTGCACCAGAGCTTATTTTGAGTAACACCTGGAGTCTGGCTTCAAAAAGGCAAGTGAAAGCAGCTTAGGAGAGCATGAAATGAGCCAGGCTGGAGGGAGCCAGCAGTGTCCTCGGTAGAACTGACCCTGGCTCCAGCCGGGGTTTCCTGACCTTCCCCTTTCTTGGCACCAGCTCTATCCTAAGTTCCTGAGATTGTCACCATTTTCCAGGACTGAACAACTACAGAATGGCCATTTTTGCTTTTTTCCTGAGAAGGGGCCCAGCCCTATCTCGTCTTCAGTTTCCTCCTAACAAGAATGGGAAGAACGGGCCCTGGCCGGCTTGGCTCAGAGGTTAGAGCATCGGCCTGTGGTCCAGAGAGACTCGGGTTCAGTTCCCGCTAGGGGTATGTGCCTCAGTTGCAGTTTGTCCCCGGTCCTGACCCAACTAGGGCTGTGCGGGAGGCAGCCACTCGATGTGTCCCTTTCATGTCAATGTTTCTCTCTCTCCCCATCTCCCTCCCTCCCTCTCATTCTTTCTTAAAAAAAAAAAAAAAAAAAGAATGGGAAGAAAGGGCTAGAAAAGACCAGATGATAAATCTAAAAATCAATTAAGTGATCTAAACAGGGAAATGCTAATAGTTCATGAGAGAGAGGAGCAAGAAAAGTAAAGGAGGGCAAAGCCAGGACATCCCTTGTGATTCAGATTCTATATTACATGTTTTGGTTTTCTAAAAATCACTAAAATCCATTTACTGAAAAAAAAAAAAAAGTAACAGCAAACATTCATTGTATGTTTACTATATTCCAGGCATTTAATATTTATTAACTCAATTAATTCAGCAATAAAACAATAGTGAGTGTCTATTTTGTTAAGCAGTAGAGATATAGAGATGAGAAGATACCATCCTTGTCTTCAAGGAGTTCGAAGCATCATAATGTTAACAAGAACAAAAGTAATAAAAGGTAGCCTTTGCTGTGCCCCTGTTATGTGCCAGGCACTGGAGATCCAGAAGAGAATAAGGCATGGCCTCATGGAGCTTGCATTCTAGTTGGTGGATATTGACAACAAGAAAACATAAGTAAGCAGGTAATTCCAAAAGTGAGAAATGCAATAAATATAATAAAACAGTGATTAAGAAAGTGCTAAGGAGAGCACTTGATCTTTTGAACCCTTACAATACAGTCTCTACACAGCAGCCAGAGTGATCCTTCTAAAATGTAAATAATTCAGATTATATCAGTCCCCTGCTTAAAATTCTCCAATTGATTCCCATTGCAGTTTGTATAAAATCTGAATTCTTTAACATGATCTGGTCTAAAATCCACTTACTAATGGATTTTAGAGGTGCTAAGGAGAGGTGCTAATCTAAATAGGGGACCAGGGAAAGCCTCTTTGGGAAGGTGACATTCCAGCTGAGGTCTGAAAGAGTATTCCAGACAGATGGAAAGGTAAGTGCCAAAAGGTCAGTTAGGCACATGTTGTAGGAACAGAGATAAGGCCGTGATAGCTGGTGCATAGAAAGAGAGCAAGACCAGATCATGTTAAAGAATTCAGATTTTATACAAACTGCAATGGGAATCAATTGGAGAATTTTAAGCAGGGGACTGATATAATCTGAATTATTTACATTTTAGAAGGATCACTCTGGCTGCTGTGTAGAGACTGTATTGTAAGGGTTCAAAAGATCAAGCAGGAAGACCAGAGGAAGCAGTAGTCTAGGCAAAAGATGGTGAAGGCTTAGTCTACAGTGCTGATAATGGAGATGGAAAAAATGTGGAATTATTTCATTTAATTATCACACCATGCAGAGGTTTACAGTTGCACATCATCTCTTGTAAATGTAATCCAGAAACTGTGCACTCACTGGTTTTCCCAAGTTTACTGCCTCATTCTCCAAACTTAGCATAATGCCACATACATTTTAAAGTATTTAATATATGTTGATTGGTTATACTGAAATTGTCCCTGATAATTTAGATAAGTCTCCGGGAAGAATGTCCAAGGGAGGGCCAGAGCAGGAGTTGTGTGAGGTACTGAATTCCTTTGATAGCTTGTCCAGATGACTCATTTGCTTCAAGGATACAATGAACCATCACCAGAAGACTGCCCAATCAATAAATAACACTAGTATGCGATCACCTTACCTCCCTCAGCCCACCCTAAAGGAATAAATCCACCCCTTAACAGCCTTAACAGGTTTTAACAAGCACCAATTTCCCCAGGATCAAAGAAAGCACACACACACATTCTGCCAAAGCAAAGGAACTCTAAGGCTAGGTTGTTACCAACAGAGAAAGACAAACCCTGAGTTAATCTGTTCCTTTCCTACAAAGCAATTGCTATGAGCCCCTGGATGACGTCAGCTCAGATTCTACCCATACCAATGGGTTCCAGGAATTCCTTGGCAGGTGACGCCCAGAAAGTAATTCCAGTGAGAATGAAGTTTCCACTGGAAGCCTCAGTGCTCTTCCTTCCGGACTTTGTGTGTGGTTATTTGGGGATGTCTGAAGCTAGGGGCGTATCCGTGCCAGACTCAGCGAAGCTAAGGGGAACCCAAGCCGAATAAAGGGGAAACAACCACGGCAGTGGAAGCAGGTAGGGGTCCTAAAGGAAGAAGACTCAGAAATTAGTTACATACAGGGGAAATGGGAAATCGGGAGAGAGCCGATCTTGGTTAGAGAGGGCGGGTCTAGCAGAAATCCTAGGGTAAAAAGCTTAGGCTTCATCCAAAGGGGCTGGAGAAGTTCAAGAAGTCCCAACTTCTTCGTCGCCAGAGTAGTCTTCCCCAGCCGGTACCCTTCCTTTACCGAGAAACCGAGACCGGTTCACACACACACACCCCACCCCCAGCGAAGGACTGAGCTCTCCATCTTCCTTACGCCGTCCCACGCCTTTTCCCCAGGACCAGGTGGGGCTCTCTGCTCCAGCACGGGGCCCGTCCATCCCTTCCCCTACGGTATCGGCAGACCCGAGTCTCACCGTCCCCGGCAGCGCCTCTCCTGTCAGGTGGGTTGCAGGCCGACACACGTACCGCCCTAGGCTGCGGCCACCCGCCGGACAGCGATCCGCGGCAGTGAAATCACATCCTCGGACCGCGGGCTCCGCCTCCAGTTGCCGCCCAGCAGGGCGGGCCCAGGAGCCTGAGACTATAATACCCGGCATGCCCAGCACCCAATCAGGGGAGGCAGAAGAGCCCCTTAGCGTAGTCCGCCGTGAGCGCACAACTACTTCCGGAAGCCTTTCCGTGCAAAGGCCTCTGGATCTTGTAGGCAGCCGTCTGTCTTCTCGGGCCTCTGTTTCCCAGGAAGCTCTGCGGGTTAGGAGGGTGTAAATGCTTCCGGTGTCGCGTAGTGACGTTATGTGTGCACGGTCCTGTAGCCGTGGCAGCGGCTGAGGCTGGCGGGTCAGGTACCGCGTCCCCGGACTGGGGAGAGAAGCTACCTGCCGACATCAGCCGGGGCTGCGGCGCGTCACCGCTACGGGGTCGGAAGGTAGGCCGTGACTCCGGGTCGGGGGACACGGGCGGACCCGGGGCGGGATGAAACCGACAGGCCCGCGCCCCGAGGAAAGACCGTCTCGGGCCGCGGGAATTCCGCCCGACTCTTTGGCCGCGGTTTTACACACAGCTTGCGCCGGCGGCTTTACGCCTGGATGCTCGCAACGACCTTACGAGGAAACCGCGGCTCAGATAAGTTCAAGGAGTTTACGTAGTGAAGACAGCCAGCTCCATCACCCAGATCTTTCTAACTTTCTGCCCCGTGCCCTGTCCCCACACCCCGTGGATGGAGCTTGCTCAGAGAGCCTGGCGTGCATCTGGGAGAGTCGGGGGCAGAGACACTCATCTCCAGGGAGCTCGGTCTGGCTCCGCCGGTGTTTCTCAGAGGCTCAGACGCGCGTGTGGTGGGAGTTGGGAGAGATCTGATAGCTGCGAACCCTCTCCCTTACTCCTCCGGTCTTACTCATTTCATTCAAGCATACAGTTGTCTCAAGCCAGAAACATGCCAATCTTGTCTGACTCCTCCACGCATCCCCAAACCTCTACTGCATTCAGTCAGTCTTTTACTTAGTCATAACAGCTCGACTTACAAAACATCTAAAATCGGAACACTTTTCTTCAGCTCTAAGCCTTGGTTACTGTAATAACCTCCTCTGTTTTCAGTCTTTCATTCCACAGTTACTGAGTGCCAATTATATGCAGGCCTCATGCTAGATGCTAGGGTTACAGTGATGAACGAGGTAGGTGTAGCCCACCCTCTTGTTTTCTCCAGTCCATTCTTCATCCTGGGTCAGAGTGGTCTCTCTAAAAGACAAATCTGATTATGTCACTCTGTAGAGAATCCACTGGCTGCTCATTACCCTTCTTATAAAATCCAAACTCATTACTGCAGCTTTCAGAGCCCTTCGTGACCCAGCTCTAGCTACCTTGCCTAGTGTCATCCTGTTTCACGCTCCCTCTTGCTCACTGTGTTTCAGCCACACTAGCCTTTCAGTTCTTGGGATGCATTTAATTTGTTACAGCCTCAGGAGCTTCACACATGCTTTTCCTTCTGCCTGGAATGCTCCCCTCCCCATTTCACTTGACAAACTTTTGGACATCTTTTAGGTCTTAGCTTAAGTGTTACTTTTGCAGAAGTCTTTCATTGACACCCCCACCCCCAAAAGAATTATGTCCTGCTTCAGCTTCATTTAGCACCCTGTTCTTTTCCGTATACTATTACCACAATTTGTGGTGATCTGCTTACTCTGTCCAGAGGTCAGGAACCGAAGCATTGAAAGCATTGTCTTTACTACTCCATCTCCAGAGCAGGGACTCAGTAGATGTTTCTGAATAAATACATGCTCTCAGGGAAGGGAGTGGAAGCTGAAGCAGATGTTTACTCCCTGGGGTTACTGGAAGCTTTCTAGAGCAGTTGGTCTGATTAGTTGCCCAGTAGGTGTTAGATACTCAGGCTGTATGTGTGAATGTAGCAAGTTGGAAGACAAATCTTTTTATTTTATTATTATTTTTAAAATATGTTTTAATTGAATTTTTAGAGAGAGAGGAAGGGAAAGAGAGATAGAAACATCAGTCGGCTGCCTCCTGAACACCACCTACTGGGGATTGAGCCTGCACCCTGGGCATGTGCCTTGACTGGTAATTGAACCTGGACCTCTCTTCTCTGTCCATGGGTGGACGCTCAGTCCACTGAACCACACCAGCGGGGAACAAATCTTTTTAAAAAGCCTGACCATAAGGAAGCTTTGGATAATTAAAATGTATCAAAAGGAAGATACCTACTTACTTCAGTGGATTCCAGGGAGGCCAAAGGCTCTGGGCCGCAGTCAAACACAGACAACCTATAGACATGCATTAGTAGGCTCACACAGTGTTGGATGTGTTTTTTCCTTACTTTAAAATTCTGAATGAGATACCTTTCTTTGAAAATCAGATTCCATACATCAATGGATTTCTGGTCCTCTTGAAAATTAGTTCTGGCAGCCAATGGCGGGACTTAATTATTTTTTTAACCATTGATCCTCCTATGGTATACATGTTCTGGGCAGTCAGTCCTAGAATCACCCTGTTCAGAACAAACTTCTCTAAGGAAGCTGGAAGGGAAGGGTGGGGTTGGGGAGGGGGAGCAGGAAAAGGCCGATGCAGGGTCAGTTGTGGGAACCTTTGCAACACCTGGGATTTTGGAATTGGTACAGCCAGTGGCTAGTCCTAAGTAGCATTGCCTGCCTTTCTAGACAGGGCACATGCTTTCTATTTTTTGTGTTGTTATTTTTAAGCCAGAATGAGGGTGAGTTTTCAGTGTTCTTTCCCAGAATTGAGGCATCCTTTGGATTAGGAAGGGAGGAGATATTTCTGCTGGTTCTCTTGCCTACAGAAAACCCCAAACTCTTTAGCTTGGCACACAGCGTCTTTCTGATATGGCTTTATCCTTCTCTCCTTTTATCTTCTAGGCAGGATAGGTAGGCCCTTCCAGTGCCTTCAGCCTCTTGTTCATGCTGTTCTCTCTTTTCGGAATGTCTTCGCTGACTTCCTTACTTTGTGTTTCCTGCTAGAAAGAGACTGACCCTACTTTGGGTGCCAGTTTAGGCAAATGTACATACATTTTGGGTAATATTCTTACTCCAGGCTTCTTTTTTTTTAACCCTAATTTTTAAGTCACCCAGATTTTCTCTTTACTAGCTTTTTATTTTATTTTATTTTATTTATTTATTTTTTTAATCCTCACCCGAGGACATTTTTCCATCTTTTGTACAGATAGAGTGGGAGGGAGAGAGAGGAAGAGAGAGAGAGAGAAACATTGACGTGAAAGGGACACATCGAGTGGCTGCCACCCGCACGACCAACCAGAGCCGGGGACAAACTGCAACTGAAGTACGTGCCCTTAGTGGGAACCGAACCTGGGTCTCTCCGGACCACAGGCCGATGCTCTAACCGCTGAGCCAAACCGGCCAGGGCTTTACTAGCTTTTTAAAAAAAATTGATTATGAGTAACTTAGTTATAATTTATAAGTAACATGCCAGAACAAAATTCAACACAACTTAAAGAAATATAACAAATACAGCAACTGATATTATAAAATGCACAATGTCCAATACCAATCAAAATTAATCATTTTCTGCAAATGAGTGGAAAAATATGACCCATAATGATTAGAAACATAAATCAATTGATATTGATCCAGAAATAATAGAGATATTGAAGTTAACATTTGTGTATAAACAACTCTTATAAATATGATCCACATGTTCAAGATGGTAGGTTAAAACATAAAATGATGAGGAGAAAAATCTTTTATATAGACGATATGAAAACATCCCACATGGAACTTCTAGAGAAGAAAAATACAATATCAGAAATGAAAAGTGCCCTGTATGGAATTAAGAACAGTCTCTTTTTTCTGTGCTCCTTTTTGCCCCCTCAGGAACTCCTGTGAGTCCGTTGCCTTTGTGGTTATCCATGACCACTAGAGAAGGAAACCAATATTGATTTAACTATGTTCATTGTAACCTCTGGTGCTCTGTGTGAAATTTTCAAACAGATACATCTTCAACTGCTGTAGTCAGTGTTGGCATAGAACATATCATATATGATATTCCTGTGTTAGTCAATATGAAAGTTGTTACCCCAGTCAGGGATAACTCTTTTGCTGTTTGTGGAGTATATGCTCTCTGAGAACTAACTTCCTTCTTTTCTTTCTTCCAATTTCATAACTTCCTTCCTAACTTTTATTCCATCCATCCATCCATCCATCCATCCATCCAAGAAAGAAACAGATAGGGAGGGAGGGAGAGAAGAAGAGAGAGAGAAAGAGAATTTCAAGGTTAAGAAATAAAGCAGACTGAAAGTATTTTATGGAACAAATTAGAGGCATCAACTCTATAAAAATCAACTGATAGTGAACTTTGAGCATCTAGATATGAAAAAAAGATTTCTGGCCCTGGCCAGTTTGGCTCAGCGGTTAGAGCGTCGGCCTGCGCTCCGGAGAGACCCGGGTTCGGTTCCCGCTAAGGGCACGTACTTCGGTTGCAGTTTGTCCCCGGCCCTGGTTGGTCGTGCGGGTGGCAACCACTCAATGTGTCCCTTCACATCGATGTTTCTCTCTCTCTCCCTCCCACTCTATCTGTACAAAAAATGGAAAAATATCCTCGGGTGAGGATAAAAAAAAGAAAAAAAGATTTCTGAAAATAGTAATGAGGGCTTTTATTTATTTGTTTTTTGTTCTTATTCTTTATTTTTATTTATTTTTTAGTAATTAATTATTTTTGTTACAGATGTTTCTCCTTTTTCCCCCACTGATCTTTACTAGCTTTTTGTGTTGTTACAGTATGTATTTGAAAAGCTTTTTCATGTCCTTTTGAGTATATTAACTGGGGATAAATAAATATGTTTATGGCTGACAACTTAATTCAGATGTCAACTTCTTCACCTCAAGTTAACTACTCTAACTCTTTAATGATATTTCTTTAAAAGTACTTAACACAGTATAATTTTGCAGTGTACATGTGTGTCTTCCTCCAGCTGAACAGTGCTCCTCCAGGGCGGGTACCACGTTGCCACTCATCTTTGTACCCCCAGCATCTGGCGGTGTTGGCATGTAGTAGGCACTCAAGAAATATGTGTTGAATGAACGATGCCTGTGACAAGCAACTGGACTTTATTCTTTCTCGACCCTTGCTCCTATGACACTCCTCCTGGCTGCCACTGTCACTCCTTTAGAGCAGATCTGTAGAGAAGCTGGAAGGGAAACAGGTGAGGCTTAGAGAGGTGGAGGCAGAGGGACAGGGTTGGGGGGAGCCTTTGGAACATCTGAGTTTTGGGCATTGGTAAATGGGGCTGGGCTGGAAGCAGGCATCTTCTTAGGTGGCTGAGAAGTGATCGGGGATTGGGGCTGGTTCTTTTACAGCTATGGCCAAGGACATCCTGGGCGAAGCAGGGCTGCACTTTGATGAGCTGAACAAGCTGCGGGTGTTGGACCCAGAAGTTACCCAGCAGACCATAGAGCTCAAGGAAGAGTGCAAGGACTTTGTGGACAGTGAGTGTCATTTGGGGAGATATGTTTCCACTCAGCTTTGAGCTATTCCAGCTATGTCCCCTCCTCCCTCCCAACCAATGTTGCTCTTGGCTCTGCCAGAATGGAGCCCTGGCTCCCTGGAGGTTGAGCCTGGCCTTTATGAATTCCCAAGGTGGGTGCACCTTGTCTACCTGCCCTGTTCTTATGCTCTCGTGTAGTCCCACAGGGAGCACCAGTCAGAACAGACACTGAAATGCAGAGGGGAGGGTGTTTTTTGAGATATGCCATCTTTGAGTTTTTTGGACTCAGAAACCTTAAACTTCATGCAGGCAGAGCTATGGCTTGGGAGTCGGACAGAGTTATGTACTGATTTGATTTCTTGGGAGAAATAGTATTGTCATTGGTAGGCTTGTCTGTATTGGGAGTGAAAGGTGATTAAGTGGAGTCTCTAGAAGCAGCTTAACAGACCCCATGAAGTCATCTTTTTTTTTTTGGTATGTGCCTCTAGCGGGAACCGAACCCCAGACTCTCTGGTCCACAGGCCGACGCTCCAACCACTGAGCCAAACTGGCCAGGGCATGAAGTCATCTTTTAACTAGAGATATCCAGGACACCGCCTGTCCAGCAGCCAAGCAAGCCCAGTGGCAGTGAATACAGAGCAGATCCAGCTAGAGCAGGGATTTCTGAGCCTCTGGGGACTCGAAGCTGTGGAGTGAGCTTGCTTGGTAAAAGGCAGCTGGAGTTCTATCGCCAGCCTTCTGATTATTGTGTGAATGTTGTCCCACCTTGCGGGGCCTTAGTTTACTCCCCAGCAATATGGGGTTCCACCACGCCCAAGGACATTGAAAAAAGGGAATGGGAGATTAGGCACTTAAATGCTGTGAGCTCTTTTTTTTTTTAATCCTCACCCGAGGATATTTTTCCATTTTTTTGTACAGATAGAATGGGAGGGAGAGGAAGGGAGGGAGGGAGAGAGAGAAACATCGACGTGAAAGGGACACATCGAGTGGCTGCCACCCGCACAACCAACCAGGGCCGGGGACAAACTGCAACCGAGGTACGTGCCCTTAGCGGGAACCGAACCGGGTCTCTCTGGACCGCAGGCCGACGCTCTAACTGCTGAGCCAAACCGGCCAGGGCTGCTGTGAGCTCTTTATTAGCTGTGGTCCCAAGAGGATAGCCACCACCTCGCCTTTAACTGAAATCTGGTGTATCTGCAGCTGGTCAGTGTCCCTGTCCCGAGGCAGCCCTTTCCTGAACGTGGCCCTGCGTGCCTCCTGAAAGCAGGATGGGTCCATCCATAGAATGGGCCCCCCAGGAGCCCTCAGAGCCTTAGGTAACAGCAGCTGGCTGGCTCAGTGGGGACTCAGGGTCCAGGTATTCCTGTCCAGCTCCTGGCACCTGGCCACTCATCTCTAGGTTCAGGCCAAGGATAGCCGACTTGAGGCCAGCAGGCCCCAGTTTGTTTTTACACAACTTAGAAGGGGCAGTTAGTCCTACCCTCCCGCTGAAAGGGAGCGCCCAGGGAGAGTGATGACACTGAGAAAATAAAACATTTTCTTCTTTCCCCAAAAGAAATTGGCCAATTTCAGAAAATAGTTGGTGGTTTAATTGAGCTTGTTGATCAACTTGCAAAAGAAGCAGAAAATGAGAAGATGAAGGTAAGATCAGCATGTGTTTTATCTAAACCTTGGCCTGGGATCCTAGTTCACTAGCCTGTCATCCTTCCCTCTCGACTTTGTGTGTGTGTCGGGGAGAGATTCTTTTAATGAAAACAAGGTTTTAGATAACATTTCCTTGTTTTGAAAGACTATAGTGCAATACTTCTCACACCGGCTATGACGTGGGACCAATTTTTTAATTTCTAATCCATTAAAAACTGATACTTTTAAATCTTCAAAAAATAAAAAAGTAAATACCATTTCCTGTACAAGTATTGACTCATTATGTTGTACACCTGAGACATTACATGTGAATTATACCTCAATTGAAAAAGAAATAATTCCTGGTCCAGTTAACCTGCTATTGAACTTTCTCACCTGCCAGTATACTTTCAGTCATTATTTCCTTTAATCGTCACATCATCCCTGAAATAAATGGTTTTATCCTTTTATAAATGAAGAAATGAAGGTGTACAGAGTATAGATGACTTGGCAAAGAATGCAAGGGGCGCATCAAATGGGCCATCGAACACCTGTGAGCCAGACTCGGGGGTTACTCCTAGAACTGTCTCAGAGTCCAGGCCAGTTCTGACTTTGGAATCATGAGGTTAATCCTCTTTCTCCCCAAGTCCTGGGTTCAACCTTTTCCCTGCTGGGCAGTGAGATAGCCTCCGAGTGGCCCTTACCCAGTTGAATATTTAATGCTGAAGAGGGTTTTAATGAAGCTATGACCTTCTTTGGCAATACTGTTTTTCTAGGCCATTGGTGCTCGGAATTTGCTCAAATCTATAGCAAAGCAGAGAGAAGCCCAACAGCAGCAACTCCAAGCACTAATAGCAGAAAAGAAAATGCAGCTTGAAAGGTAAGACGTTATATAAAGCAAGGTCTTGGCTCAACTGCAGTTCAGTTTTTCCTTCGTAACAGTCACCTCTTGTCCTTATTCTTCACCATTGTTCTCCCAGGAATAGTGTCTCACTTGTCATCCTGATTTGAACAATTTAAAAATAAAATTAATTTGATGGGAAGGAGAAATAATATTTGTGAAAATCAAACCACCTATAGTAGAGAGCATGAAGGCTCAGGTAGTGAGTGTGCAGTGGCTGGCTGGCTCTCTGAAAGGAGACCCTCCAGGGCTGAAGACTTCTCATGGGTGGCCCTACGCAGGGCTTTGCACATCTGATCTTTTTCTCTTCTTGCCCCACCTTCTTCATTCTAACACCATTTCTTGGAATCACTTAAATCACCTGTATTTTTCTCTAGAAGAATTAAGCCCATGGTTTATTTCATCCATTTTTAGGGCTTCTAACAATTTTGTTTTTCAGGTATCGGGTTGAATATGAAGCTTTGTGTAAAGTAGAAGCAGAGCAAAATGAATTTATTGATCAATTTATTTTTCAGAAATGAACTGAAAATTTCATATAGCGGGAGGGCAAAAAAACCTTTTATCATTCCAGTGACTGACTAGTGGCCCAAGTGTATATGTGAGATGGTGTGTGAGGGATGCAGCTTCTCTGAAGGCAATAAAACAAATCTGGGGCCTTGTTTCAGATGCCAGGGCCGACCTGGTGAACACCCAGTGACCACGGCGGCCCAGGGTCTCACCTCTTGCATTCTTTGTCCAAAATAAGCAGTCTGTAAACTTTGATTTTTTTTTTTGTAAATTCACAAAGTTTTGGGAAAAAAAGCAATAAATTATTGTTTTCAAATGGCTTATCTACCTCTTTTCCTGATGCCCTTAAAGTGTACACTTAACCACTTGCACGAGAACCTTGGACTCTCTAGCCCCTAGTCCACAAAACAAACCAGGCAATGGTCAGCAGCTACCTTTATTTGGACTGGACACGAGTCAGAGGATACTCCCAACAATTAGAGCAATACGACTTGTAAGCAGACCAGGCAGAGGGAACTAACTGGGACCAGCTTCTATTGTTGTTCATGTGTATTCACAAGTCTTTTAATTGGAGTTAGCCTTGAGTATGATTTTAGAGAAAACTAACGAACACCAGGTCCTAATGTGAAAAGATCCTATGTGCACACACTGGACATGTTATGCCCAGTTGTCCCCCCGTTTTGACTGAGAATAAGATGGGAAGGAATGATTAAACAATTAGGAAGGACGAAATTATTGAGCAGGAAGCGCACTTCAGATTAGGTTTGAGATACCAGACTTCAGAGTAAAGTGACTTCTGTCAGGTGGTCTGTACAAATACAGGACTAAGGTTTGGAAAGAGGGTGAGCAAGACTTTAAAAAAAAAAAAAAAAACTCTCTTCCTGGGTTGAACTGTTTAAGACAGAAACAAAACAGCTTCTAGTGTAACCCATTTCTGATGGAAAGTCATGCCAGGGCGGAACCTTAAGGAAAACTAAGTTTAAACCTCTTGCAGAATATTTCCTCTCTCCTCTCCCTGCCAGTGGTGGGGGCAAGAAAATGATAGTTTTTAATGAATTAAAGAGGCATAATTTCAAACTTAAAAATGGCCAGAAATATCCCACTATTCATTTTGTTGAATCACATTTTGCTGCAGATAATCATAAGTCGAGGGGTTAGTCACACATATACTGTGGATCACATGACTCATGAAACTGCCAACCAGGATGTGTTTCTTAGAATTAGAAGTTTATCCAGTTTCTGGTCTGGTCCTGTTCTTAGCAATTCTGCAATGGAACTTGGGCACATGGAGAACTTGGCCCATCCTCAGGTGACCGGTCTGTGTCAGTGCCCTTAGAAGGTGACAGTCTGATATGTGGTCCTGCTGCTGGTGTTTCAAATGCTACTGAAGACATGGGTTCTGAGCAGTTTTCCTTGTACTGAGTCCAATAGGAAGCTGCCCTGTGGGCATCTCTCTGCAAGTAGTCCTTGCTCTCATTTTTTCTTTCGTTTCTCCTCATATTTGTAGTAGGGGCTCCGCAACATGAAAAGCAGAAGCATAAGAGGGATGAGAAAGTAGGGGGAATAGAGAGATATGAGGGTTAGTCGGTCCTGTAAAGTCTTAGGCCCTTGTCCTTTGAAACCACTGGCTTTAGAGAAATCCTCCAGTAGAAAGGTGGAGAGAATCGGAATTAGAGTTGTCATGGTGTGAACCGAGTAGACGATGGCAGGGGTACGGATCCACTTGCAGCCTCCTGGAGTTGTAGGGGAGAGAGAGAAGCGTTAGGTCTGTTCATGACTCCAGGGACGCCCATGACTTTCCTCATGCTGTCTGCTCCTTTCAGCTGAATCATTCTACTTCCTCCAAGTGGAAACAAATGGAAAACTAGATGTGTTATAATGTTGCCCAACTGCGCAAATTTATGTGGCAAGGTCCTAGCACACTGACTGCCAAAGATACCAAGGGTGGGGGTTGGAATTTAATCAGAAAAACTCTAGGGCAGTAAGTTAAACCTGTTTGGTCCCCCCCAGCTGGTGTGGCTCAGTGGTTGAGCGTTGGCCCATGCATCAGGGGGTCGATGGTTCGATTCCCACTCAGGGCACATGCCCAGGCCGTGGGCCTGATACCCAGTGTGGGGCATGCAGGAGGTGGCTAAACGATGTTACTATCTTTCTCTCCTTCCCTCTAAAAAAATCAATAAAGAAAAAAAAAACTTGTTTGGTCTGAGTGTGTGTGTGAGGGGTGCTGCCAGCAGCACCTGTTTGTTAAGTAATTACAGTATCTGTAGGTGAGAAGATCAATCAGTCCTGCCAAGAAATGCATTTGGGCACTCCAGTGGGTAAGGAGCTTAGTTACCACGTATGTTGGAAAGGCCACCTTCTTTATAAAAGCACCAGTCATATGGGGACACTGTAAGAATAATTTTTAAATAAGAAGTTAAGCCCTTTAGGAATTAGCTTGATGCTATTGCTTATAAGCCAGCATGATACTACCTAAAGCAGAAAAATGAAACCCAATGATAAAAAAAGAAATTCAGTGATAAAATGATAAAAGAACTAAAAAGCAACAAGCCCAGTCTGTAAGTTGCCTCAGGTTTCATGTGTATGTGATTTCCAGTTGGCTGAGGTGGTCATGCAGCCCTGCTGACCACAGACATTTGCCTAGGCCACATTAATGTCCTTTTACAGGAGCTATCCTGGCCATTCCCCCCAGACCCTCTATCACCATCACACAAACTACAGGGACCACGCCTCTCCCCCTTGGAGATACTTTCCGGAAGGATTTCTGGCACCTGATTTCAGAGCAAAAATGGGATTTCCCCACCATTTACCAACCTTTGAAGAAGGCATATGTTGCAATGGGAAAGAAAGGCAGCTGAAACACAAGCTCGCAAAGCAGGAAGGATTTAAACCACATCGGGGGGTCCTGTAGCAGAGGGTCTTTGAACTCTTTAGCATACCATTTCAGCAAGTTTCTCAACTGGAAAAAGATCAAGATCACCATGAATAATACAGTCATTTGGCAGGATAGGCTCCGCCCATTCAAAGTCTTTCATTACCCAGCCCCCTTGGCAACAGATGGCAGATGCACCTGGCTTTGTGATGCAGCCTAGATGGTCATTTAAGAAAAACTGTCTAGCCCTGGCCGGTTTGGCTCAGCGATTGGAACGTTGGCCCATGGACCAGAGAGTCCCGGGTTCAGTTCCCACTAAGGGCACATACCTCGGGTGCAGTTTGTCCCCGGCCCTGGTTGGGGTCATGTGGGTGGCAACCACTCGATGTGTCTCCGTCTGTCCTCTCCCTCCTGCTGTCTGAAGATAAATGCAAAAATGTCCTCGGGTGAGGATAAATAAATAAAAACTGACTAGCTCTAACTCAAATGTTAGCTTCTCCAAGCATCTTGCCTCAGCTCTTCCAGCCCCTGGGCCACCCAGCATTTGTTTGTGACTCCATGGTAACACTTATCTTGGTGTGTTGCCTCTTGTCAAAAGCAGTATCTGCCACTTAGTTTGCTGAATGAACACAAATGTGACATATCTGCCAACAACATCATTCCATATAAAGAAATAACAAAAACCATCCTGACATTTGCCCTTTCACAATAGCAACTGTACACCAAGCTCCAAGGGCCAGATTTCCTCAAGTACAGAGATGAATTGAATTTGACTTGAGGGGAGGTAGGGAACAGTGATGGAAAGGAGGTAAATCAAATCTCTGTGAAGATGCAGTTTTAGACAATTTAAAGTTTTTCATCATTCTTAGTTCCTCAGTTCTCAAGTTTTTTTCTTTTAGGAGACCAGTAGGATATTTGTAGAACAAACTCTGTTCCAAACCACAAACTATATAGCTTCTACGCTATGTCAAAGCTTGAGTTAGCAGTCTTAGTTCTAGCTTGGGCTTCACCCTCATAATTATGCTGTCAAATCAAAAGATACAGAGCTGTGCTGACATGGCTACAGGCAGAGAAAGGAAGAGTTTGAGGCTGCCCATCTGTGCTATTTAAAGAGCCCACACAAAGCCTAGGGCTCTTCACATGAAGGTCTGCTGTATTTAACCTGGAAATGGCATTGTCTCAACTCACCTACCTTCAAAGCCAAATATATCATTATATTATGATAAATAAAGGCAACTTCCAAGGTAAGAATTTAACTTACAATGGAAAATCCAAAGATATTTTTCCTGTTAATTTTTAATCAAAAGATAAAGGTTCACTACTGTTAAATAGAGGCCTTAATGCTGTGCATGAGCTTTAAGCAAATATCCAGAAACAAACATTCTGTTAGCATACTAACTTCAGAAAGGCTCTGACTAGATAGCCAATTTATTGACCAAGTGATCTCTGAATTTGTACTTGACCTGAAATTTAAATTCGCGGCAATACCCTTAGCTTTCTCCGGAGCACTTTTCAGAATAGTAATGTGGTAGAAAATATTCACACACAAGTTAGGTCATTGCATCTCTCCTCACCTGTAAAACAAGCAACTTGAACTAAATGTTTTTGAAGATTTTTTTTTTTTTTTTTTTGCTTTCCAGATTTACTTAGAAAAATACAGGAGAGAACAGCCTGCTTTAAAAGATTTACTGCAGAATTTAAAAGGCATCCTGGTTCATCTGAATTTTATTTGCTATTCAATTTGTATATCATCTCTCAGATCCACCTATTTCATAAATCCAGGCAGATAACTACATACTGTAATATATAAGGGCTGCAGGATGAAATTAGTAGAATTTAAAATCAGCCAGCTCTCACGATCAGTTATAACCCAACCACCTGCCCACAGTCAAACAGCCACCTGATGCCAGAGGAGGGCTGGAGGAAGGCAAGGCACAGGCCCCTAACCGTGAAGAGCGTGGGACCTGGTGGCCGAGTGCCCGGATCCAAGTGCTCTGGACAAAGCACTTAATCTCACTAAATTTGTTTCCCAATTACAGTACCTACCTCACTGTTGGTAAGATAAATGAGTTAATACATACAGTCTTTAGAACAATGGCTAGCACATAAAGACTCCTTAATTGATTGTAATCAATACATACTTGGAGAGGTTCATGTTTAATCCTATTAATATCTCAGCATGCAACTGGTCATTAATAAGAACTATTCTTATCAGGTAATAAGACCCCCCAAAAGGTACTAAAGCTGTTTCCATTTATATACCTGAGTCACACTAGACTCAACTTACCAGTTATCCATTAAAAACATTCACCTGGCCTGCACACATTGGATCCGAAACCAGGAGTTGAACAAGTTTGCACTTCTCTCAGAATGAGAACAGACTGATTTCAGACCTAAACGCTCACCTATTTGTCCTTATTTTAACAGAAGCAATGCTACCCAGCTGCACATTACACTACAAAATGCTTCCCATCCTCTCCATGTTTTCATTAAGCGATTTCTAACCTTTTTTGTCTCATGGCACACATAAACTAATTACTGAAATTCAGCACACCAAACATATATTTTGCTGATCTGACAAAAAAAAATTGGTATAATTATATTATTCATGCACACTGGATGGCTAGTTAGGTTGGCTGTTGTCATTTTTCAATTTGACGATCTAAGGGAAAAGAGGTCAGTACCCCTACCTAGCCAGGTATTGCATGTTTTAAAAATTCTTGCAGCACACCGATTGAAAATTGCTATTCTAATCCAAATTAAATTCTTACTGCTTTTCCTAAGTATTGGGCTGGTTCAAACCCAGACAGATTTAATTTGCATCGTTTAGCCCAAACATTATGTGGGCTTTTTAAGTTCTAGGGAAAATTTCTTCTATTTAAAGAGGAAAAACAACAGGTGTTAAAATTTTGGCATATCTTCAAAGGAAATCTAAGAATAACTCGCGGCTTTTATTATTATCATTTTCCACAAAGAGAAGCAACAAAACTATCATTCTTCACCCCAAAGCAGTAAGAATGACTAGAGAGAAGGGCCTTCCAATCCAGGATGCCGTGTTCCTAATGCCTTCAAAATAGCATCAGACACAGACACAGACAGTTTCTGGCCAGGTCCCACCTATACTGGCCCTTGACCTTTCACAATAATCAACATTAAATAAAGCTGAGAAAACTTTACCAAATCAATATATTTAAATGGCGTTATGCTGGACACAATTGTATTTTGTGAGTGGTGAGCAAGGACATGTGGGAATGGCACATTCAGAAAGGATAAAGAAACCAACAGCTGTTAAGTCTGGAATAACCTGGAGTAACATATTTGTCCAATATTAAAAGGATTCATACCACCACAGATTGTAAATAGGGACCCTGCCTGAGTTTTGTTGGCCTGTGTCAGACTTTGAAAACCAAACATAGCTCTGCTTTCTTCAAGGCAACTAATGGCTCATGTAGAGCTTAGACAACCTGTTTAGAAAGATTATATACTATCTAGGTCTGTGTGGTAGGCTGAATAATGGCTCCCACAGATACCCACGTCTTAATCCCTGGACCTGTGGCTGTAACTTTACCTGGCAAGAGTTTGCAGATGTGATTAAATTAAGGATTTTGCAATGGGAAGGTTATTCTGAATTATCTGGTGGGCCCTAAATGTAATCACAAGCGTCCTTATAAAAGTAGGGTAGAAGGAGATTGTACTACAGAAGAAAACGTGGCAAAGTGATGACAGAAGCAGAGATTGAAGTGATGTGGCCATAAACCAAGGAACACTAGCAGCCACCAGAAACTGGAAGAGGCAAGGAACAGATTCTCTCCTAGGACCTTCAGAAGGAACCAGCCCTGCAAGATTCATTTTGAACTCTGACCTCCAGAACTACAAGAGAATAACTTTGTGTTGTTTTAACCTGTTAACAGAGCTTAACTGAGCGGGACGTATAAATACTACGTCAAACGTTGCATACAGTGAAAAGGGAATTCCCCAGTTAACAGGTTAAGCCACTGTGTTTTTGGTAATTTGTTACTGCAGCAATAGGCAACTAATACACCCTGTTTATGTTTGAGCTTGTAATTTAACCCAACTCTGTCTTATTTGACAACTGAGGCTACAGAGCCCCAACTTGCCCAAGACACTCAAGCAGTTCCTGGAATAACCCAGTTCCCAGTGTGTAGTGCAATGCTCTTGTCACACACTACCTAAACTTTTCCCAAGAACAGGCAGGTCAGAGAACTTCCCAGTTATGCTTGGATCTAGAAGCAAACCAAAAAAAAGATGATGGATTGGGGGGTACATTGTTGAACAGCAGCTCTTAACCTTTTGGGGAGGGTTAGACCCCCTGGAAAAGTTGATGGAAACTATAGACTCTCCTGCCAGAAAACACAAGGCACACCATTTTGCATGCACCATCAGGAGTTCATAGACTTTAGGTTAAGTTCTGAGACTTACTCAGCACAGAAAAGGCATTTAATAACAGAAGCAAAACCAAAATCTATAGGTCGACAAGTCAGTCTTGCCCACAGTTCTACAGGCATATTGGAGAAACAGAAATGAGGACAGGAATTCCATAGAAGAAAGTTATAGAGTCCAGATGTGAAAAGACTGGGAAAGCAAAATTCTGAATACATAAAAAGCATTAAAGCAAAGTTTAGGGTAAAGAATGCTCCCCACCAACCACGAAAATGAGGCTTTTTGCCTCTGTTTTTACTCAGGTGATTATTCTTACATTCTTACATGAATCCAATTAAAAGGGACGATTTGAAAAGGTGTGGTTAATTTACTTCTGAGCTTTTGAAGTTGCTGGATCCTGATCTTGAATGATGATCTGCGAATGCCGAATGCCTTTTAAAGGGGTCTAATTCTACTGGGATTATTTATTTGGGATTAGACGGTATTTTAAAGCTCTTCCAAGAAACACAACTTTAGAACAAATCCAATGCGTGATTCAGACAATGGTTCATGCAGGCTACTTCCCTCAAATACTGACAACTGGCCTGAGGTTGTGGGAGCCTTAACCATAAACCTGGGGAAGAACTGTTTACAAGGAACAAAGTGTCTGCCCCTAGCAACTTGTGGGAAGAGCCTGGGATGATAGACAAAGAATATCCCGAGGAAGATGTTAAATTGAAGGGCAAGGAGAGCCGGAGCACCCGCAGGAAGGCGGGAGGATAGGGGAGGCAGAAGTGCAAGACTGCGGGGAGAAGGGGGCGACATGGGGGGCGCGGGCGGAGGAGAGACGTCACCGGGACGCTGGGCACAAATGCAGCGTGCGGGGGGCCCCAACCTCGGCGACCCGCGGCCAGGACCCGACCGGCGCCCTCACCTCGATGGGGTACAGTTCGCCCGGCAGCACTGCCTGCAGGTCCAAGAGCAGGGTGATGGGGATGTGGGAGAGGAAGTAGAGCCCCAGTATCCATTCCAAGCCGCGCCGGGCGCCCAGGGTCCCCATCATCTGTACGAGTTGGGAGGGGTAGGAGTCAAAGCTGCGCTCGCCAGGACGCCGACGTGGGAAGAGTACCCGAGCCCGCGCAGTCCCGGGACCCAGCGCCCGGCCGCTCGCCCCGCCCCTCTTGAGGGCTACGCAGGCCGCTTCCATTGGCTGCAGGGGAGAAGCGCGCGTCCATTGGCTCGTCTGAGTATAGCGTGTCTCGATGTCGCGCAGGGGCGGGGCTCCTCGCCGCCGCGCGCAGTGTGCGGCCCGAGTGGCCTGCCGGGGGCGGGGGCAGGCGGGCGCCGGAAGGCGTCTCACCGCCCCCCGCGTGGCGCGCGGGGCTCAGCGGCGGCTGCCCACTGGCCCCTTTGGCTCATTAGTTCATTCACTGCCTCCGTTTAGCGCTCACAGAGCGCCTTCAGGGTGCTGGGCCTGGGCGCTTGTGCAGACGGAGCCCCAGTGCAGGGGGAGTGTCACAGACCAGGGCCGGCCGGGCAGTGCGCCGTGACCCGCGCCGTGGGAACACCGGCAGGATCCCTGTCCCGCCGGAGCTGAGGGGTCCTGGAAGCTTTCCAAAGGAGGCGTAGGAGGCAGCCAGTCTCAACTTATAAAGAAGCAGAGGGTTATAGTAAGAGGTGAAATGGGCAGATCTTCGTTGTTGGCTGTGGAAAATGAGGGAGGATCAAGGATTCATTTACTTATTCAGCAACTATTGATCTTTATATGCTGGACCCAGGTCTGCTCTGGGACAGCATGGGTGGGGCTGTCTTTCGCGGAGAAGAGGGACACAAAGAAGTGCGTTGAGTCTGGCCGTGTGGGTCAGTGGCTGAGTGTCCACCCATGCACCAAGAGGTCGCTGGTTCAATCCCCGGTCAGGACACATGCCTGGGTTGTGGGCCCAATCCCTGGTGGGGGGCATGCAGGAGGCAGCCAGTCAGTGTTCTCTCTCATTGATGTTTCTCTCTCTCTCTCTCTCCCCCTTCCTCTCTAAAATCAATAAAGGAAAAAAATTTTTTTTTTAAAAAGTGAGTTGATGAGAAGGTAATTTGGTTCTGGCCGTGTTGACATTGAGCAGTCCCTGCCACTCCTGAGTGAAGTCTAGTAGGCATCTGGATGAACCTGTCTGGAGATGTAGATTTGTGAGCATTTGTGTTTGGTGGGAGTTGAATTTCTGAGATCAGAGGGCCTGTAAGAGAACTTAGAGGAGCTCCAACCTCAGCGTTCCTGGGAGGAGGGAGCTGATACAGGTGGACAACAGGAGTGCGATGTTACAGAAACGGGGGAGGGGGTGGGGGTGAAGGACAGAGGCTGGGTCAGCTGAGTCAGAGCAACACTGAATGGTACCCCCTGGTGGCCTGGTGAGAGCAGTTGTGTCCGTGGAGGCAGAAGCTGATAACAGCAGGGCCAGGAGTAAGGAACGAGGGGGATGGAGGCAGGGAGTGTAGATCCCTGGCTATGACGGGAAGAGAGAAGGGGCAGTAGCTGGAGGGACATGTGCTCAAGAAAGAGGGCTGATGTATTTTCAGATGAGGGAGACTAGAGCACTTTCGCTTGTTCAGATGATGTTGAAGTTTCTGGGACGGGGGAGAGTGTCCATACAGGAGGAAGAGAGCAGGGGATGTGGCTCCTGGCTCCCAAGGAACTGGAGGGAATCCAAGGTTTAGGGTTAGGTCAGAGGAGTTCTGTGCTCCCCAGGGTGGACCCCGTGGTAGGGCAGAGAAATTGTTGGCAGTGTAGAGGGCCCAGCTGAGGTGGGTGGCCGTTGATCTGGAGGCCCCAACCTCCTAAGCTGCGCGCTTCACTCCACTGTGAGATCTGCTAAAAAAAAAAAAAAAAGGCTGTTGGACTCATCCAGGTTGGGGTTCAGAAAGACAGCGGTGATTTGGAGTTGAACGAGTGACTGAAGAGATGGAGCATGCAGTTCAAGCTGGGTAGGGAATGAGCGACATGAGGCCAAGAGGGCTGGGGGAGAGAAGGTGGAAGTGGGAGTGGACTTGAGGCTGAGGAAGCAGTGCTAGTGTGATGGGAGTAACTGGGTGAGGGCCAGAAGGTTGGGAGGTTATGATAAAGAGGTGGTGTCTGAGTTCCTGGTGTCTGAAAAAGTTTTGTCCTTGGGAAGGTGACCACAATGGAGTGGAGGGGAGGTCTTCAGAGATGAGGACAAGGGACAAAGTGTTGGCTAGATCGACTGCAAAGGTCACCTAGGACGGTGGTGGCAGTTAGGTGGAGAGACCATGAGCCCATTGCCAAAGTCTTGGGTATGTAAGGGGAGTAACCAGGAGGAAGGTGGGCATGGGCTGAAATGTGGCTCCAACCTCAGAGAGTGGAGGGAATGGGTGGATGTGGTCTTGGGGAGCAGGGAGGCGGGTGACCCACCTCCTGACCCTGAGCTTGTGGAGTGTGAGAAAATGAACAGCCTGTTCTGGAAAGAGCTGGGGGAGTGGAGACCTTGAGGACCAGGGGGAGCCAGGTGTCAATGACAGCAGGAGGTGAAGGCTGAGGGCATGGAGGGTTTGTTAGCTCCATAGTAGAGGAGTTTGGGCTCTGGGGAGGAGCAAGTGGTTTACCAGGGAGGACAATCAGAGCTGGACGGAAGGAGAACACAGCAGGAGAGGGAGGTGGTGAGCAGGAATGAGCATCATGGGTGGCTGAACATCGTCAGAACACAAAGACCCGGCATCCCTAGGGCACCCCGGGCTGCTGGAGCCCTCGGTTACCCAGCTGTACTCAAGAGGGGCCTGGCAAAGGTGTGCTCCCCCTTTCCCTCGGGACATGGCAGCACCCTTAAAGCCGCTCTGCAGCCCTGGCCGGTTTGGCTCAGCGGTTAGAGCGTCGGCCTGCGGTCCAGAGAGACCCGGGTTCAGTTCCCGCTAAGGGCACGTACCTCGGCTGCAGTTTGTCCCCGGCCCTGGTTGGGTCGTGTGGGTGGCAGCCACTCGATGTGTCCCTTTCATGTCGATGTTTCTCTCTTCCTCTCCCTCCCACTCTATCTGAACAGAGAAAATGTCCTTGGATGAGGATAAAAAAATAAAAAGCCGTACTGCTTGCGCCCTGGCTGGTTTTGCTCAGTGGTTAGAGCCTTGGCCCGTGGACCAGAGACCCGGGTTCGGTTCCCGCTAAGGGCACGTACCTCGGTTGCAGTCTGTCCCTGGCCCCGGTTGGGGTCATGTGGGTGGCAACCACTCGATGTGTCTCTCTCACATTGATGTTTCTCTCTCTTACCCCCTCTGTCCCTCCTGCTCTATCTGAAAATAAATGCAAAAATGTCCTTGGGTGAGGATAAAAAAAAAAGCTGTACTGCTTGCTGCGGGTGTGGGATTTGCCCAGAGAACGAGGTTAGCATACAGCTGTTAATGACTGTTCCTCAAAAAACATCTCACCCAGCCAAGTTTGTTATCTGTAGATAAAGATTTTCAAGGCCAACATTTTCACTGGAAGTCTCCTCTATCCCCACCCCACCCCCAATTCTGTCCAGATGCTGTCTTGGGTTTGAAATTACTCTAGCGGGGAAACCGCAGCTCTTCATTTCATGAGTTCAGATAAATAGTGGGAGGCGAATGGCCCTGGGGTGGAGGACGTGGCTAATCAGCAGAGTCCTCACCCAGAGCAAAGCAAGTGTTGTGAAAGAATGAGGAAGAGGCAACGCTTAGCACGTTTTGAAAATTATTTGTATTGTGATGAGATTGACACCATGAGCGCAACAACAGACCCATGCTAATCCAACCGCTTTTCTCTTGGGCAGCAACTGGTCGAAGCTCTCCTCGCGTTTGTTTCACTTCTCTCTCTCTTTAAATCCCACCCCCCTTCTCCCCTCCCCTCCATCCCCCAACCCCTTAAAATACTCGAAGGCTCAGCTGAAGGCCACCTCCCCTGATTACCCCGGTTTGGTGGCATTGCTGCCATCTCTGAACCTCTTCCCTGACATGTTTATTCCTTTCTTTCTGAGCAACACTGATCCGAGTACCTTTCCTGTTAGACTGTAGGCTCCTTCACAGCAAAGACCGTGTCTTTGGCATCTTTATTTGACTAACACAAAGTGGAGGCCTTCGTTGAATGAACTAAACATGAAAGTCAGACGCTGCCACACGAAGACTGCCACGCCCGGAGAGGGGTTACGAGGGGCACTCCGGGTGTGAGAACAGCCGACCAATGGCGAGATGGAGCTATCACATTTCAAAAGGCTCTGCTGCTAATGGAAACTGATAAGACCTGGAAAGCCGCGCAGAGACTCTAGAATCAGCTGATGGCTTCACGCCTCAAATCCAAAACATTATATACTAAGATTCTGCCAGGACCAGCTGTGTGTGGGATTCAGAATGATCTCTGGGATCTGTGGGTGTCACGGAGGCAGAGGGCAGCTGACCAGCTGTCTTGCATGATTACCTACCTCCCTTTCATGTCAAACTTGAGTGGAGGGACAGAACAGGCGGGGGTTAATTCTGACAGACTTAGTTTAACGTTGGGATATTTTGTTGTTCATATATCTTTCTGCATTTGAATTTGAAAAGAAAAATGTTTCATTAAAATATCATTTATCCTGAATACTGAGTATTTTGGTGCCCACCTAAGTCTTACTCACCTTACCCTGGTCCCAGCTCTGGTTGTCAGGTGGGAGTGGGGAGGAGGGGTGCAGTGACGAGTCTGCAAAGCTAAGTGCCCTAGAGCTCACGTCAGGGCAGGAGGGAGACTGGGAGATGGTGAGCAGGGCAATCTGGGATTACAGTAGTGTTTTAGGAATATTCATCTGGCCCCAGTGTGCAAGCTGGACTGGTGGGAAGGGCAGTCTGGAGGCAAGATACTGAATTTGTATACCAGGTTCATGTGTTTCCAGTTTAGCAGTTAAGAAACGAAAGAACTGGAGGTATTAGGTTCAGGCTTTTTTCAAGACAGACGTGCCTCAAATACATGTGGTGGTGGAAGTGAAGGGGTCCATTTCATGGAAGAGTTAACAGCTCTCACTCGCTTAAGGAGTGCCTACTGTATACTAGAGCAGGGGTTGGCAAACTTATACTATAAATGGCGAGACAATAAGTACTGGAGGCTTTGTGGATCAATCTTTGTCCCAACTACTCAATGCTGCCATTTG